GATTGTCAATTATCATGTGCTTTAATTTAGCTGCTGCATTGTTTTCATTTTCTCTGGGGTAATTTAATTGGTTGTTATCATCATTATTACCATTATTATTATTTTGTTAGTTCTTGGGGGATTACACCCAGCACTGCTTGGTGGTCCTTGGTGGTTCTCTAGAAGCTAGGCAGTGTCTGGAATTGAGCCCAGGGCCTTGCATAGGCCATACACAACCTCAACCCTAGAGACATCTCTGGCTTGGATTTGCTCATCTCAATCTCTTTCATGTCAGCATCTTCCTTCACATATCTTAATCTTTCTGGTTCTGTGTTCAGATGTAAGAGTAAGGCTCAGGGTTGAATGAACACTGTTGGAGGTTTAGTGACTGAATCAGTGACTGTGCCCCCTCACTTATGGTGACAAGGCACTGAATTAGCTTTTTTTCTGGGGTGGGTGCAGGGTGTAGGCACAAAGATGGTGATGCTCAGTGCTCAGGGTTTACTACTGGCATGATCTGGGATCATTTGGGGTGCCAGGAATCAAATCCAGGTTGCCTACTTGCAAGGCAAGCACCCTATGTGCTGTACTATCTCTCCAACCCCAGCTTTTTTTTTTAAGGTCACGTTTATTGGTTCCTTTGGACCAAGCAGTGCCGGAGAGGAATCTTGGGCTTCTGCATGCCAACCATGTACTCCAGCCCATGCATGAGCTAGTTATTTGGGATATCCTCTACTCTGCCAGGCATCAATATTTTCTTTGGAGCAGATATTTTTTTCCCCAACAAGAACCTGTCACAATTTCACCCAGTTCAAAAGACTGGCCGCTGACTTCATTCACTTCATTCACTTCATTCACTTTTTTGTGGCCCTTGGGATGCAGCAGGGTAGCTCTACTCCATGCTGCTCCAGGCTCTTTGTTTATGCTGTTTGGAGAATATTTATCTAGAAAATACTGAGAATATTTGTGTTCAATTTTTTGCTAGCTTGTTTTTATGTATTTTTTATTTTACTTATTTATTTTTGCTAGCTTGTTCTTAGAGATTTGTTTTGCAGCATTGCTCCTGGCTGGCTCTTCTTGACTCTGTACTCAGGGGACATGCAGTGCTGAAGCTAGGATGTGGGCTTCCTGCAAGCATAGCATGTGTTCCAACTTGGTCGCGACCTCTCTGGCCTGTTATCTTCAAGTTTTATCTTGAAAGCTGAGGCCACCTAAGAGAGACACTGCCCAGAGTGATGAAGTCAGTTAGTAGTTCTGGTGGAATTCCTTTCATCTATGAAGATGACGGTAATGTCCCCGAGTACTCACTTGGGCTCTTAGCTAAAGTCAGTGCTTTCTTCTGGCCTCAGACTTCCTATCTGATGACTGCTTTCTTCCTTGTCCTTCTGTGGTTGTAAGGATCACTCCCAACAGTGCTGTGGGTCACAGGGTGCCAGGGTCTTGTATAAGGCCAGGCATATGCTCTAGTACTTGAGCCACATCCCTACCCCACCCTCTCCTTGGTTTTATGTATGTTTATGATTTCATTCTGGACTCAGTCACATCAGAGAGGTTTTCAGTGGCTCTAAGACAAATTCATGTGTTCAGTTCCTTATCTTGAACCCTAAGCCCAAATTAGTCTGTGAAGGTAAGTATAGCCTTTGCCAAGTGTCCAGTTGGGGTTCCTTTCGATGTAGAAGTGGAATCTTTCTTAAGTTTCCCAGTTGTCACAAGAGAGAAATAACTTCTTCAGCGTGGCCTTCACATTTAACCCCCTCAATAGTGGCATTTGTTCTAGTATTCGCGTGAGTGAATAAAACTGGATGGATACACAACTCTTCTGGGTGACCAAAAGGCACTGACTATTACTATTTCCCTGCAGATCTTCTGCTTGGTAAGGCTTCTGCAGATTGAACAGTTCAAGGGGGCAGTGCTTGCCTGCCTGCATCGCTGTTGCTCCAGAACCAGACACTGAGTCAGCTGTGACATGGTGTGGTACCTGCTCATAAGGAGGGAAAATGAAAGGGAAACAGCTGTGGAGCTCCTCAGTGTTTACAGAGACACCTCTCTTCAAAAGTCATGTTGAAGAACCAGGGAATTCTTTTCAGAATAGACTTTGCCTGACCAATAGTGTGCTTTAATGTTAGGGGCAGTGAAGGATTAAGGGCTGTGTTTTACTTCTGAGGGCAATTAGATATTATAAAACCCATGTTAGGGCTGACCCTGAGCACCTACAGTTTTTCAGTGTCTTCATAATATTTATTTTAAAAAATCCTAATTTCAAACAGGAGATCTAAACTTCAAGCACTGAACTTCATAATGTGCCTGAAAAGTTGACAGCAGGGACAGGTAGGGGTTGGTTTTGGGGATGAAAACTGGGAACACTGGAGGGAAGTTGACAGTGGTGGTGAGATTGGTATTGGCATATTATATGCCTAAAATTCAACTATCAATAATTTGTTAGTTGCTCCTGTCACTGTCCCCTGTTCATCGATTTGCTCGAGCGGGTCCAGTAACATCTCCATTGTGACAATTGTTAATGTGTTTGGCATATCGAATGCATCACAGGTAGCTTGCCCTGCTTTGCCGTGCGGGTGAAATACTCTCAGTAGCTTGCCGGGCTCTCCGAGAGGGGCGGAGGAATCGAACCCAGCTTGGCCGGGCTGGCTGCGCGCAAGGTAGGCGCCCTACCGCTGTGCTATTGAAATTATGGTATGTATACACATACTGCAATTTGCTGCAATTTGTATGTAAATGTAGGGTATCATGCTAGTGAAGTCAGTCAAAGGGAGGACAAATTAAAATTGCTCAGACCCCAAAATACTTAGCAGAACAAAATACTGTCTTGATAGTCTGATGTCTCTAGAAGCCTACTGGGTTAGAAATATTTCCTACAGGAGAAATTATTCTCAATTATTGCACTGCCAACAAATGGTTTTGCAATTGGACAGGTCTAGAAGAACTGAGAACCAGTTGGTGCCCATCAAAGACAACCCATTCTAGCTGTTACTAACTCACACCACCCAGTGCTCGTTAGTGTTAACCGGTGCCATATGGTGCCAACCATGTGCCAAACACATGCCACATCAAACTGTGCCAGTCAGTGCTGACCCATGTCCATCAGTGTCAACCAGTGACAGACTTGCCAATCTGTGCCATCAGTGCCAACCCATGTCAGACTGTGGAATATATGCTATCAGTGCCAATGCCAACCTATACCACCAGCCAGTGCTAACCCTTGCCAGTTGGTGCCCATCAGTGCTAACCCATGCCAAAAGGTGACACAACATGGGCTGGTCAATACCAACCCAGACCTCATCAGTGACAGTCAGGGCGAACCCATGCCAGTCGGTACCAATCAGTGCAAAACCCATGCCAGTGTCAACTGTGCCAGCCCATGCTAGTCTGTACCAAAACTGTGCCTGTGTCCATCTGTCCCCACTCATGTTAGACATTGATGAATTCATGTCAGGCGGGGATAGTCAATGTCAGCCAGTGTTGGACAACGCCAGTCTGTGCTAACCAGTTTCAGGCAGTGCCAACCCGTGGCAACCAGTGCCAACATGTACCAGTCAGTGCCAAACTCGTACCAAACAGTGCCAGCCGATAATCTGATATTAGCCTTGTACATATGACAGCTTTAAATACACAAAACTGACTGTAACACATTGCAAATTTGATGAGAAGGTAGGATAGCGCAGCCAGAGAAACAGATGTCATTCACCTGGGAATAGGGAGGTTTGTAAAACGTGATCGATCCATCCCTTATCAACAACTGCATCATCAGGTAATATGACATAAATACACAGCTCACCTCCCTCTCGCTTCATATCTAAAGAATTAGGAGTCTTGTGGGTAGAGCCGAGAAATGCAGAACAAATGGTTTTAACAAGTGCTCCAGGTAATTCTGTTGCCCAAGCCTAAAGACTGCCACTAAAACTCTCTAAGGGGGTGTCAGGTGTTGAGAATATGAGGAACATATTTCAAAGGCAAAAGCAAATAATCATCTCACAATGAAAGGGTCTGGTCTGTTTAGTGATTCTGCAAGCGAATCCACAGCCTTCTGTTTTCTAAACGGTGAGGAACACGAGGAGTCCAATTCTGAGTCGTTAGTTAAGACTGGGTCCCAACTCGGAGCCGAGTTCTGAGGGTCTCCTCAGAAAAGGGAAGGAGGGTCCAAGAGCCTCCTAAGAAAAGGGATGCAAGGAGGCAGCTCAAGTAGCAGTTGAGTGATATGAGCTTTATTATACTAATTGATATGAATACCAAAGATCGGCATGAATTTGTTCATACCTGCCATCCAGCACCCCCCCATCCCCACCCCCACCTTGACTCTCGGGGTGTAACTTGTTGCAGGGCTTCCTTGCAAAGCTTGGCTTGATGAGAGAGACGAGCCAAGGCCTAGCAGCGAAAAGCACCACTCATTCTTGGCCCCTAGAGGAAGGTGAGGGCGAGGACAAACGACGAGGGCTCAAAACTCCACAACCTCCAACTCCGCAGCCACTTTGGGCCACCTGGCAGGTCCCCAAGCCCGGTGGGAGCAGCCTGACGCCCCGTGGCAGCCCCACTTCCGGGTCCCGGCCAATAGGAAACGCAAACTCCTTCCGGCGTTCTGCGTGTTGCCATGGAGACGGGGCGGGCCCGCCCGCCCGCCCAAGGCGAGGGCCTCGGAGCTCGCGAGGCGGGTTCTGACGCCGCGTCCTGTCTTCCTCGCCACTTCCTGGCCCTCTCTGGGTCCGGTGCACGCCCCCCCCGCCCCCAAAAGGTGCACGCGTGGCCGTTAGGTCTGCGGGAGAGGCCCCAGCGGCCTCCCCCAGGTCCAGGCGCCAGCCAATAGGAACCCGAACTGCTCAGCCACTCCGCGCCGCGCGCTCCTTCCGGCGTCGTACGTGCTGCCCTGGAGACGGGCCGGGCGAGTCCAAATTCGCAGGGGTGCGAGCCCTGCCCGGCTCCACGCCGCCTCGGCGCCGCCCGCCTCTCCCCGTGCCTTCACCCCTGGCCTCCGGGTATTGGACCGGCCCGGAGAGCGGGCGCGGCCCTCGGGAGGACTGGCGGCTTCTCCAACCCCGAGAGCCCAGGTGCGTGGCGGTGGCTGTTTCGGGACTCCCGCGCTGGCTTTGCGTGACCCTCCGCGGGCGCCGGACCCTGAACTGGCTTGGGAGGAGACGTTGCCAGTCTATGGCACCCTGCTGTCCTCCCTCTTTGCCCGGACCCCGCGTCCCCCGCGCGCTCGTCTCTCTTCTTTGTGCCCCGTGTCTCATTAAAAGCACCCCCGCCGCTTTCTCGTGACTTTGGTTCGGGGCGCACGGGACACCTTCATTAGGATCAGGGTGCATTGGAGGCGGGGGGGAGGGGGGACATCGGGGCGTTCGAGCTTTTAGGGCTCCCGAGGTGCGTCCCCGGATTCTGAGTTTTACCCCTTAACATCAGTGGGGTTGCTTGGCGAGTTCTAAGGCCTCCTCGCGATTGAAGTCGGCGGGCGGCGGGCGGTGGGCGGCAGTGAGAGGAGCGGGAGAATTCGCTGGCGGGGGTCGCTGTGTGCAGAAGGCGGGGCGTGTTGATTATGCAGCGGGCTGAAAGCCTCCAAGTTCCGAGCGTGCTGTGCAGATTGGAGAGCACCTGTTGAACTTTTTTTTTTTTTTTTTGCAAAGCTCCCGCCGCCTTGCAAGATCCCTCTGGGGGATTGATCTGCGGTTCGCAAAGTGGAGCGTGCGTCCCACGGGTAACCAAGTATACCCCACAAACACACTAAAAGCAGATTGCCGGCTTCGCTTTCCGAGTTTCTTGATTGAATAGCGCTGAGCTGGGGCGGGAATCTGCAGTTCTCTCAAGTTCCCAGGTAATTCTGAGGCTGCTGGTTTGGAAGTCACAGGTCTTGAATCTGCGCTTGATGGAGGGGTTTTACCTGCGCTCAGCTGTCTCCTGGGTTGCTTCAGACTTTGTTGAATGTAGACTCTGCCTTCTAAATTTTACCTGCCTCTTTGACTTCTATCAGGTGATAGATACTTGATAGATTTGAAAAATATTTCAATCTATGCCATAAAATGGGAGAAGACTAGTGTAGTGTCTTGGGAACACACATTTAGGCATGAAAACGATCAAGTACTGTAGAGAAGTAAGAGATATGAAGTCTGGAGGGTGATTTGGGGGCGTAGGGGGCAGGGGGCTAGGAGTTAGAATGGCTCTGATGGCAACAGGCTAAACTAAGGGTTTGGAACTGGGCGGGGCGGGGGCTGGTGGTGGTGATTGTCAAAGTGCTACTGCAGATTGGTGGTGATAAAAGGGTATCTCATAATATGTAAATAAAGTACAGCTTAGCTTTGTAGGACATTCTGTTTTACCTATTTTTTTTTTCGCTTTTTGCTTTTTGGGTCACACCCAGTGGTGTTCAAGGGTTATCTCTGCACTCAGTAATCACTCCTGGCAGTGCGTGGGGACCATATGGGATGCCAGCCTGGTCAGCTGCATGCATGGCAATGCCATCTCCACTGGACTATCACTCTGTTCCCCCATTACGAGTTAAGAGGATACACTTTTCAAGGGTCAGAGAGATTGTATACATGTTAAGGTGCTTGCAGGAGTGATTCCTAATGTTCCCCCTGTCCCCCTCAATTTTACACACTTTTTTTTAGGAGGTTACACATTTTTTCAAAAGTGTGAGGAAGTTATACATTTTTATATTTTAAAAAAGTGTATGAGGAAGTTATAGTGTCCCCCACGTTGCAGTTGGATTTAATTTCAACTTAAGATGTACTCATAGAATTAGAGTTCTTTCTAGATTATTGTAATACTGGTTCTCTATACGCATGAGGTCAGCTGTGTAGCAAACTACTTCCTGCTTCTGATCAGACATGGCTTTCAGCTCATTTTTGTATGACTTATTGCAGAGCATGTTTTTTTTTTTTTACGTCAAATAACTGGGGGAAATAATAAAAAGGAGGCCATTTTGTGAGAAGGGAAAATTATATAAAATTTAAATTTTGATGTTCATCAGGGAAGTTCTAATGGAATGCGGCCACACCCGTGCATTGTACTAATGTTTACTTTTTGTCTCTGGTTGCTTTCCTGCTTCAGATGCACCAGTGAATAGCTGCAACAGAATAGCAGGCCTGCAGAATACCAGAGCTTGAACTCTGGAAGAATATTGTGACTCATGCCCTAGCATGATTGTCAATTTTTTTAAACTATAAAATTAATTTTCTTCTTCCAGGAGCAGCAGCTTATTGCTCCTTTCTCTTTTTTTATTTGATCTTTAATTGTTTTTTCCCCACCACATATAGCCAGTTTAGTTTTGATCTATTTTGAAATTTTAATGTAATTTAAATTGCTTCTTTGAGTCACACCTGACAGTGCTCACTTCAGGTGGTACATGGAGTGTATGTGGTGCCAGAGATTGAACAAGGGCATCAGCTGCATGCAAAGCTTAAGTGCCTTACCTCCTGTACTATCTCCTATATTATATCTCTATAACCCCCGTTTTGAAAATTTTAAAGCAATTATAGGACTGAGGATACTGGGACTACAAAGGGGTGGAGTGCATGCCTGGTACATCGCACAAGGCCTTGAATCCTATCCCCTGTACTTCATGGCCCTCTGAGCACTGCTGGATATAGCCATAGTGACCCTCAATGCTGCTCTCTCTCTCTCTTCTCCAGTACTGCAGAGCCAGACTGAGCACTGAACCATTAGGCCTGCACCACATGGGCCACTTTCCACCTAATACTGGTGGTGGCTCCAATAAATTTTTTAAAATTTTATTTGTAGTAAAAATATATATAACAAAAATTGCCCTCATAACCATTTTTTTTTTTGCTTTTGGGTCACACCCAGTGATGCACAGGGGTTATTCCTGGCTCATGCACTCAGGAATTACTCCTGGCGGTGCTTGGGGGACCATATGGGATGCTGGGAATTGAACCCGGGTCGGCTGTGTGCAAGGCAAGCATCCTACGTGCTGTGCTATCACTCCAGCCCCGCTTGTAACCATTTTTACTGCATAAACTAATCCTCAACACTCTTTGCATCCTACAGAGTTGAAATTGCATAAGCTTTAGTAACTTTCTATTCTCCGCTGCCACTACCATTGGCTGGAATTGAACAGAAATTCTGTTTTTAATTTCTTGATGTCATGTACAGCATCGTGATTATAGTGAACAATATTGTATTATATGCTGCAAAGTTGCTGATAGATTAAATCTTAGATCTTTTATCACAAAAAGAGAAATGATTATATGGTGTGGTAGAGGTGTTAACTAACATTAAGATGGTAATCATAGTCTAATATATACATTAATGTAGTTATTAAACAAACACTTATGTATATTAATCTTATGCAATGTTAAATGTAAATTATATCCCAATAAAAATTGAGATATAATTCATATCTATAAATTCACCCTGTTTAAAAAGCACAGGTCAATAATTTCAGTATATTCACAAAGTTGCATAGTTATCAGTACTAATTCCACAAGATTTTAATCTATACCCAAAGAAATCCATACCCATTAATTTTACTGCTCTTTTACACACTGCCTCAAGTGATTTTGCTATAGGTTTGATGTGTTAGATATATGGAAACATAAGTTCTATTTTATTTACTTATTTTGTTTTAGGGCTGGACCGATAGCACAGCAGGTAGGACATTTGTCTTGCACGCGACCAACCGGGGTTCAATTCCTCCGTCCCTCTCAGAGAGCCCAGCAAGCTACCAAGAGTATCCTGCCCACATGGCTGAGCCTGCCAAGCTCCACATCCCGTATTCAACATGCCAAAAACAGTAACAACAAGTCTCACAATGGAGACGTTATTGGTGCCCACTGGAGCAAATCGATGAACAATGGGAGAACAGTGCTACATTTTGTTTTGGGAACCACACCTGGTGGTGCTCAGGGCTTACCTCCTGCTCTGTATTAAGAGATCACTTTTGGCATGGATTGTGGGACCATGTGAGGTTTTGGTGATAGTATTGGGTCTGCCACATGCAAGGCAAGCACCCTATCTGCTGTACTACTTCTCTAGTCCCCATAAGTTCTGTTTAAAGAGTTTATCTGGCCAGAGAGGTAGTACTGGGGTTGAGGTGCTTGCTTTGCATACAGCTGACCCCCAGCCTCCCCAGCTCTGCATATAGTCTCCCAAACACTGCCAAGGGTCTCTTCTGAGTACTGAGCGATGAATAGTCCTTAAGCATTATTGGTTGTGGTCCCTTAAACAAAAACTAAGTTATCTTACCTCTTGGATAATTTCTGGGAAGTTTTCTGCAATGTAGCATGTACAATCCTCCCAAAGATATGCCTATTTAGGATTTTAATTGAGTACCTGTTTTGGTTATTTGTCAAAAGTTAAGATACTGATTTCATTATTTTACTTCAATTCTAAATACAGTTTAATATGTCCAAAGATGATAGCAAATCCTTATCCACTGATTAAAATAGGGAATATTGTGGGGTCAGGAAAATAAAAACTCTTAATGCTAGATCAGTGTTTCTCAGCTCGAGTCAGTATGGCCCTCTGTGGGCTCCCAGGACTATCTAAAGCGGCCACATGTGAAAATTATATAGATGGGGGGGCATGGTAATATGGGGGTGTGGTGGGCAGAGAAAGGAAATGAGGGTGAAAGTGGGGCCATGGTTGGAAAAAGGTTGAAAAACACTGATTAAGTGAAAGGCTTAAAATAAATTCTTGATTGAAAATAGGAGTTGGCAAACTTGTTGTAAAGGTTCAGATAGTAAATACTTGTTGTTTCAGGTCATATCACAGCTGATTAACTGCCTGATAGTCTGAAAGCAACTTTAGGCAATTGGAAAGTGAATGGGTGTGGCTGGGTTTCTTTTCACCTGTATACCAGCAGTTGGTGAGATTTTGAACCATGAACCAGAAGTTTGCTGACCTCTGATTTTAAATAATATCGAACTGAGTCTTAGAATCTCAGTATATTAAATGGAAATACTATCTTTTCATATACATGTATATATACACACACACACACACACACACACATATTTTGGAGGGATGCACACTTATCAGTTGTCAGGGCTTATTACTAGCTCTGTGCACAGGCATCACTCCTGTCAGAGTTTAGGAAACCATATGTGGTGCCAGGGATAGAACCTGGTCAGCCATTTGTAAGGAAAGTGCCCCGCCTGCTGTACTATTGCTCCGGCTCCTACCTTTTCATATTTGTGTATAACTTTCTGCATGTATTGTCTCATTTGCTTTTCATATGTGAAATGTAGATGGACATGGTATCATCCCATTCATCAGACAAATTTTAACATAGTATGCTTTTCTTTGTAACAGGAAATGAAAAGTAAGAGGATACTTTGGCAGGCTGAAACCTCACTCATTCCTTGACTTGATTGAATGTGTTGAAAACAGCTATATTAATTGGTTAGGTTACGATCTTACAATCTTACTGAGAGCTAGTCTGAGCATTTTCAGGAATAGAAGGGCAGGCATTGGGGCCTTATGAGTCTGGATTTTTGGTTGAGGTTATGACATTGGCTATAACCACAAAATTCAGAATGGGGCAAATTATTTTTAGAACTTAAACTGCCAAGGCTTTATGGCAGTCACAGAAGTGGATTCCTTAATAATAAAGTAATAGTTGCCTAAAGGTTTGAAAAACAACCCAAAACTTGTGGGTAGGGAATAAATTATTGGTTTGTAATTTTTTTTGGGGGGGGGAGCATATCTGGCTATGCTCAGGACTTAGTTCTGGCTCTGTGCTTAGGAGACAATTAATATGTCCCTAGGTTGGCTGCATTCAAGGCAATCAGCCTAACTCCTGTACTCTTTTTGACCCCATGTAACTTGCCTTTATTTTTCTTTTAGCTTTTGATCAGCCTATTAAGATACTACTATTTAATACTTGTAGGTGAATGTTCATGAGTTTATACAATTGTAGATTGAATCTCCTGGGAAAATTAATCATGAAACTAGATTGCACTTATTAGTGCTACTTTGTTTAATTTTCAGAAGATAGAGATGCTATTACGCTGTCATCTGATCGAGTGTGAAGAGTTGAACCAGAAATGGAAAACTTCATTCTGTATGAGGAAATTGGCAGAGGAAATAACACAGTGGTCTATAAAGGGCGACGGAAGGGAACCATCAATTTTGTAGCTATTCTTTGTACTGATAAGTGCAAAAGGCCTGAAATCACCAACTGGGTAAGTATGCTTCCCTCCCTCTGAGAAAATGTGGCACCCCGATCAGGTAGAACAAGAAGCCCATAAACACAAGTCATTAAACTCTCTAGAGCAAATGCCACGTTTTCTTTTTTTAAATTTGGATCTTCCCGGTGTTGCTCAGGGCTTACCCCTGGCTCTGTGCTCAGGGAATCACTCCTGGCGGGGCTTGGGGGACCATATGGGGTGTCAGGCATCGGGTCAGCTGTGTGCCCTATCTGTTGTATTATCAGTCTGGTCCTGCAATGCCACATTTTCAATCTGGAAGGAAAGATCTATTTAGTGTCACTGACCCTGAATAATTACTAAGAATCATATCCAAATAGTTAGTGACTTAGGGCTGGGGTGGGGGGGTTTGCATAGAGTCAGAAAAAAATCTAGTTGTGTACACACCATTTATTTTAAAAGTTAGCATGGGATTCTGAAGCTTTCCAAAAGGATGCTTAGCGAGAGTGGCTTAGTTTTTCAACTTTTAAGAATTGTGCCGAAATGTATATATCATGAAAGCTACCATCTTAACCATTTATTTTAATCTTACTCTATTTTATTTTATTTTTGGGACCTTCCAAGCAGTATTTTGAGGCCAGGGAACCACTCCTGGCTGTCCTTGGCCAACTGGAATGGTGGTTTAGTACTAGGGAACTGAGGATTCAGTGCTGCTCAGGCCATGTAGTACCAGGAACCACCAAGGCCATCCTGGAGATGTTAAGGGCAGTCGGTGATACTTTATGTTTGGGAGGTCATGTGGTTCTGAAGGATCGAACTTAGGTCAGGCAAGATGCAAGGCTAACCCTTGTTCTATTTCCCTAGCCTGACCATCTTAACCATTTTTGTATGTGTAGTTCCGTGATCTTAATATGTGACTGTGAGAATATCACCATTCCCAGAATTCCTTGTTTTCTTCAAGGATTTTTTTGGGGTTCAAAGCAAAATATGGAGATCTCCCGTATATATCTACATTTGCTTCACAGTATGAACCTACATTATCATATCAGAATCTTTCAAACTCCATAGTTTTTGAATATGAAAACAAGAATTCAAAACACTTTCATCATTTTTAACAATTCCGGGTCTTCTTTGTGAATGGACCACACCTGGCAGTGTTCAGTGGCCACACCTGGAAATGGTGCTTCTGCATGCTAGGAAAGCCCTTTTACCTTTGTACTGTTTCTTTGGCCCGATTCTGGTCTTCTTGGCATGATAATCAGACCTTCCTCCCCACCCCACTTCTTTTCAGTTAGATGTTTTCTTTTGGTTGATTTGTTTTTGGGGTTTTGGGCCACGCCCAGTGGCACTCGGGAGTTAGTGCTGGCTCTGAGTTTGTGCTCAGGAGTGACCTCTGGTGGTGCTCAGTGGGTCAGATGTGGTGTCCTGTATTGCACCAGGCTTCTGAAGCAGTTGCATGCTTGGCAAGTGTTTAACCTTCTGTATTTCTCTAAGGTTCCTAATAACACATTTTTAAGGTTTTCCTTTATATGATGGTAGTTGTCAACAATTCTGGGTGGCATGCTAATCACACTTTTTTGGGGAAAGGAGGGGGACTGTGACATATCTGGTGATGCCCAGCGCTTGTTCCTGGATCAGGGATCATTCCTGCCGATGCTGTATTTAGTATTCTGGGGGATTGAACCTGCATGTAACCTTATGCCCTGAATTATCTCTCCAACCCCTAATAATACATTTTTTAAGGTTTTAGTTTCTCTCTTCCTTAAGTAGAGAGATTGATATACTATCTCTCCAGCCCCGTATAATGCATTGCTTTTTTTTTTTTCTTTTTGGGTCATACCCTTCGATGCACAGGGGTTACTCCTGGCTCTGCACTCAGGAATTACTCCTGGTGGTGCTCAGGGGACAGTATGGGATTCAGGGAATCGAAGGCAAATGCCCTACTCCCTGTGCTATCGCTCCAGCCCCAATATAATACATTTCTTAAGGTAATAGTTTCTCTCTTCCTTAAATGGAGAGTGAAATCCTGAAGCAAGTAAATATATTTTTTTTAACTGATAGGCATTTACATTATTGTTATTATTAGTTGTTGTTTTTGGATCCACCTGGTGCTACTCAGGGCTTCCTCCTGACTGTACCATAGGCTGACTTCTGACAGTACTTAGGGAACCTATTATATAGTGCTGTGGCTTGATCTTGGGTCTGCTGCATGCAAGGCAAGCACCTTACCTGCTGTGCTGTCTGTTAGACCCCTGCGTCTTTGTTACTGATTTTTGAATGAACTCTTGATTTTGGTGCCTAAGTCTTTTTCTTTTTTCTTTTCTTTTTGGGTCACACCTGGCAATGCTCAGGGGTTGCTCCTGGCTCTGCACTCAGGAATCACTCCTGGTGGTGCTTAGGGGACCATATGGGATGCTGGGAATCAAACCTGGGTTGGCCACGTGTAAGGCAAACATCCTATCCACTGTGCTATTGCTCCAGCCCCTTGGTGCCCAAGTCTTTTTATGAGTTAATGGAAGTATGCATTTTAAGACCAGTGTTTTTGTTATAATGTTTGTTCTTTTAATATTCTTTTGGAGGGAAGTAGTACTATCCCATTTCCATGTTATGAAATGAAACATTTTAATATTGGTTTAATATTCGTTAGTTGATATAAGACCTATTTATAATTGAACATTTAGTTTATTTTTACTTTGTAGAGTTTTATTCTTTAAAATTCTTTTTTCTTTTTTTTTTTTTTTTTGTGTGTGTGGGGGGGTGTTTACACTCAATGACGCTCAGAGTTTACTCCTGGCTCTGCACTTAGGAATTACCCTTAGCGGTGCGTGGGTCGACCATACGGAATGCCGGGGCAAACACCCTAAGCACTGTGCTATCACTCCGACCCCCAAATTATTATTTTTTCCTTGATTATAAAATCAATATGTACTTAGTATAGAAAATAGGAAAAGGGAACAAGTAAAATGGAAACTTCTAATAGTTAAGTCAGTAACTGACACAAGTTATTTTAAGCTTCTGGTTATTTTCCTATGATGATGATGATGATGATGATGATGATGATGATTGCTTTACACAAATATGTGCAATTGCATTGCATATGGTTTTAAAAAATGTGTTTCAGATTAGCATTTTCCCCTGTGATCTATCTTCATACCCCTCAATTTTAAGGTTTAAGTAGAATTCCACCAAATAAATCCCATTCTTTGCCATTGTGTACTTAATTGGCGCCAGCACTATCAAAGCTGCTTTTGTTTTAAAGTGTGTATGCTGTGTGTTTATAGGTCCGCCTAACTCATGAAATAAAGCACAAGAATATTGTCACTTTCCACGAGTGGTACGAAACCAGCAACCACCTCTGGCTGGTTGTGGAACTCTGCACAGGTAAGAGCATGTAACAATTGCTGCCAGTGCGGTGCCTTAGGTGGTTTGCTGAGACATCATTGTCAATTCCCCAGTCTACAAAAACCGAGCCTATTAGATCAGCCAAACAGTTTAGCTAATGTATTCTTTTTTTCCTTTTGTTTTTGGACCACACCCTGTGGTTCTCAGGGCAACTCTTGAAGTGGTGGGACCACTGGGTGAGGGCTGGTGGTACTGAAGATCAAAGCCAGGATTCCCTCATGCAATGTCTTTGCTTTAGCCTTTCAAACCATCTCCCAAGCTTCATCTTTTAATTTTAATGAAAAGGATACCTCCTTTGAAACACTGAAGCAGTGTGGTAAAGTACAAAAGGAACCCAACAAATACCACCATGTAGTAATTAGAGACAGTACATTATAGAATTCTGTAGGACTATACGCAGGGAGAAGATAATTAAGTATATAGCTCTTACTGGGCTTATCATTTTAGTACCTTAAGATTTTTAACAGAAAAAAATGCAAAAAAAATTAACAAGCACACCACCCTTAGTGTACTTCTGTTTTATACTAAGTAATAATGAAGGATCATTAAAAGTTATATTTCTAGCTTTGGGTTTTTTCCTGCTTGCACTACGGGTTTATAAAATGAAATAATGAACGAGATTATTTTTGTTTTTTCGGACCACACCTGGTGGTACTCAGGGCTTACTCCTTGATCTATGCTGGTAGTGTTCAGGGAACCATATATGATGCCAAAGATTTTATCTGGTTGGCTGATTGTAAAGATGCCTTCGTAATTACTGTTCTGTCTCTCTGGCCCTACAAAAGAGGGTACTTTGAATGACTTATGTTGTTCGCTGTCTTGAATCATTAAGATGCTCACATAGTGCCAGTGACGAGGGAATGTTCCCTGCATTACTTGTTGCTCCAACTATTGTTTCTCGACCTCAAACCCTAACTCTTATTTATACATATATTTGGAGTGATTCTCACCTAACTCACCCAACAGAGTAAAAAACCCCGAAAATATCTCTTCAATGTGATTCTGATGTAACTTCCAGATAATAACTAAGATTTTATATTCTTGGAACTCGGTTCTTGTAATCTTTATTTTCTGGGGCCACACTGGCAATGCGCAGGGTTTACTGCTGGCTCTGCAGTCAGAAATTACTCCTAGAGGTGCTGGGGGACCATACTGGATGCTGGGGATTCAACTCAGGTTGGCCATATGCAAGGCAAGTGCCCTACCTGCTGTACTATTGCTCTGGCTCTTTTATTTTTTAAGTGATTAAACAAACTGTTAAAAATTCATCACTCCCCATTAGACCCTAGAATCTTCTTTTTATTTTTTTCTTATTTTTATTTATCTTTTTAAGGCATCATAATTTACAAAATTATTCATAGGAGAGTTTTCAGGCATACAGTGTTCCAACACCAATTCTACCACCAGTGTCAGCTTCCTTCCACCAATGTGACCCTAGCTTCTTAAACTTCTGTAACAATGTGAGAGTTGTGAAAAAAAATCTTAAAAATTTTACTATTTCAGGAGATAGCATAGGCATGAGGGCACACCTTAGCATGTGCTTGTCCTGGGTTTGATTCCAGATGACACCAGGTGGCCTGCTGAGCGTCATTTAGCGTAGTACTGGAGGCCCCAATTGTTGTTGGGATAGCCTTGATGGTCCTCCATACTGCAGGGCTGTGTACTGGGGTCCTCACATTGAACCGCTCCTGGTCAGCAAAGAATTGCTGAGAATGGTTTCTGTGTTCCCTCAGCATTGCTTAGGAAAGCCCCACAGGTTTTGGGCTTTTTTTCCCCCCTTGATTACTATTGCTATTATTTTGTTTGTTTGGGGGTCACGTACAGCAGTGCTTGGTGATAGAACTCAGACTTCCTGAATATACAGCCTGCTCTCCACTGAACTCTCTGCTGGGCTCCCTGGGACAAAATATTGAAGAAACCGTTAGGTACTTTGACCCTTGCTCCCACCTTTCCTCTGTAACCTGCTTTGTTGTTCATATTCACTGGTTTATTTGAGTTTGGTTTCTTTTGTTCATCTACTTGGTTTTCTTATACCATTATATTACACATATTGGTGAAATCATTCTGTATGTTCCTCTCTCCTTCTGACTTAATTTGTTTTGCAAAATGACACATTCCTTCCTCATTGGTTGTACTGTTTAAAAAAATTATTAGAGAATGTATCTTTATTGTTGTGGGTGCCACACAAGGGTATTTCCTGGCACCAACTCTTCAGAGGCAACGTTCGTCAATTAAAAGGGGTGATTTTTATTTTCCTTGCAGGTGGTTCCTTAGAAATGGTTATTGCTCAAGATGAAAATCTTCCAGAAGACGTTGTGAGAGAATTTGGGATTGATTTGATTACTGGATTATACCATCTCCATCAACTAGGCATTCTCTTTTGTGACATTTCTCCTGGGAAGGTAATTCAGGAAAGTTTAAATTTCCTAACTGCCTGTGTCTCCATTTATAATGCTTTCTCAAGTGTTTTTTTAAGTTATATTTTTGGTACAGAACATCTTAACACTGTAAGTTAACTTTTTAATAGAAGAAGACATGTATTACTGCCTGTTAGCTGCCAATTGAAGTAGTTTACCAAATGTGAATCTTGCTTTCCAGTTCTGTAATTACTGTTGATTCAGAGGTGTATTGTGAATGATGAGCTCAATGTGTCTGTAATAGTCAGCCCTTAAATGATAGGCACAATTACAAGTCATTATCCCAATTTGATAATGGCATCCTTCATTGTGTAAATGTTATTCTTAAGATTATGGTTATGATTTGGACACTTTCTTCTTCTTTTGTGTGTGTGAAACAAATTGTCCATAATGGTGCTTTCATGAAGTAGAGGCATGAAACCAGCCAAGTTCCTGAGTCCCATCCATGTTGACATTGAGAAGCTGTATGACTCTGGATAAGTTCTCCCTTCCCCCTCTCTCTGTATGCCTCCCTTTTCTTGTCTGTGTCATAGAGATAGATGTTTTCAGGGTGATTGTGCAGGTACCTAATACATTTAAGTAAGGTTCTGAGACTTTTTGGTAGGCAGCATGTACATAATCAATGCATATGTTATTGTCTTTATAAGTACTAGTCTTAGGAGTTATTTGTCTTACCCATCTGAGTTGCTTCTGCTTTTTCTTTTTTCTTTTCTTTCTGCTTTTTCTTTTTTCCTTTCTTTCTTTCTTTCTTTTTTTTTTTTTTTTTTTTTGCTTTTTGGGTGACACCTGGTGATGCACAGTGGTTACTGTTGGCTCATTCACTCAAGAATTACTCCTGGAGGTGCTCAGGAGACCATATGAGATGCTGGGAATCAAACCCGAGACGGTCATTTGCAAGGCAAATGCCTTACTGTGCTATCGTCCAGCCTCAGCTACTGCCTTTTCTTTGTTAATATCTGCACAATGCTACATAAAAGATGGCCATTTCATTGTTGAATGTTATTGTAGGCTACCTCCCTGAGAAGGTAATTGAGCTTATAAACATCATAAAAACTCAACATAATCAAGTTTTTGTTTGAAATATTTGTAGACTTGTTTTAATTTTACAACCACTTCACTGTAGTTATCCCTGAAGGCAGCTATAGACAATCTTTGAAAAAACATGGGCATGGCTTGTTTCAATGAAGCTTTATTCTTGGAAAGTGCAATTTGAATTTAATATAGTTTTAATAGCTGGTTCAAATTATGTTTTGATTTTTCCAAGCATTTAGAAAATATACGAACTATTCTTAGCTTACATCTGAACAAAAACTGACTGTAGTCAGGACCTGGCCCAGAGCCGCCCAGTGCCTACCCTTGTTAGGTTGATGAGGTCTAGTATCAACTTCTCACAACCTTGGAAATTCATGTTGATTTTTATGTAGCCTTTATTCTAGAATTGGGATTAGTAGACGTTGGTAGGAGGGCCATTTCTGTAATGTTATATTGGAATAGCCACACCCTGTCATTAAGGTATTGTTGGTGATTGTAGAGCTGTGTAGTCAGGAATCTACAAGATCTTCTGGACTGCATCAGACAAAGTCTCTGCTAGTGACCCCTGCTAGTGGTTCTCACAGTGTGTTCCCCAAAGCTGTCAGCACTACTGGGGACTTGTTGGAAATGCAGGTTCATCTTTTGAGGGGCAGGGATTATGGGCCACACCTGGCTATGCTCAGGGCTCACCCCTGGCTTTGTGATCAGGGGTTATTACTCCTGGAGGTTCTCGGGGCACCATGTTCAGTGCCAAGGTTCAAACCAGAGTTGTTTCATGCACCACAAACATCTTAATGCCTGCACGGTCTCTCCAGCTCCTGAAATGCAGATTCTTGGTTCCCACACCAAACCTCTTAAATTAGAAACTGGACATGGGGACAAATGAATTTTCAAAAACGAACAAGCTTGCCAGAGATTTGGGTCCTCAGAAACATTTAAAAGTCACTTTCATAAGGATATTCACCCAATACCCATCTGATAAGGGATTGGTATCAAGGATATGCAAGGTACTGGTTGAATTTTACAAGAAGAAAACACCCAACCCCATAAAAAATGGGGTGAAGAAATGAACAGAACCTTTGTCAAAGAAGAAATCCAGATGGCCAAAAGGCACACGAAAAAATGCTCTTCATCATTAATCATCAGGGAGATGCAGATTAAAACAACAATGTGATATCATCTCACACCACAGAGACTTACCCACATCCAAAAGAACAAAAGTAACCGGTGTTGGTGTGGGTGTGGTGAAGAAGGTACTCTCCTTCACTGCTGGTAGGAATGTCAATTGGTCCAGCCCTTTTGGAAAACAGTATGGACAATCCACAAAAAAAGTAGAAATTGAGCTCCCATTTGACTCGGCAATACCACTTCAGGGAATATATCCTGTATGTACAAAAAAATGTAGTGGTAATGACATCTGTGCTTGTATGTTCATTGTAGCACTGTTTACAATAGCCAGAATTTGGGAAATACCCAAGTGCCTGAGAAAAGATGACTGGTTAAAGAAACTCTGGTACTTCTACACAATGGAATACTATGCAGCTGTTAGAGGGGATGAAGTAATGAAATTTGCATATAAGTGAATCTACATGGAGAGCATCATGCTAAGTGAAATGAGTCAGAAAGAGAGGGGCAGACATAGAAAGATTGCACTCATTTGTGGAATATAAAGAAACAGAATGGGAGACTTACACCCAAGAATAGTAGAGATGAATACCAGGAGGATTGCTCATGGCTTGGAAGTCGACCTCATGTTCAGGGGGAGGGGGCAGCTCAGATAGAGAAGGGAACACCAAGTATGGGGTGCTTGGAGGGCTCGCTCAGAAGGGGAGATGTGTGCTGAAAGTAGACTACAGACCTAATGATAGCAATTTAGTACCTCTGTTGCAAACCACAACACCCATAAGGAGAGACAGCCACAGAGGCGGGTTGGAGTATGGGGGAGGGATACCGGGATCATTGGTGGCAGAGAATGGGCACTGGTGAAGGGATGGGTACTTGATCATTGTATGACTGAAATGTAAGCATGAAAGTTTGTAAGTCTGTAACTGTACCCCACGATGATTTATCAAAAAAAATTAAAATTAAAAAAAAACAAGATAAGAAATTAAAAAAAATCACTTTTATAGACTTATGAACATCCTTAGTATTTGTGACTAGAAGTTAAGGGTAAATTTAAAATGGCTTAAAAATTCAAAAATCCCTTTTGGGAGACCCTGGAACTTTGTTTGTGGATGTGTGAGCAGTACACATGTGAATTGATGAAATTCTGTATTCTGTAAAAAAAAAAAAAAAAGGAAGGGAATGGGGTAGTATAGTACAGGGGTGAGACACTTGCCTTATTTGCTGCCTATTGTTTTTGTTTGTTTTGTTTTGTTTTGCTTTTTGTTTTTGGGCCACACTGGGTGTTGCTCAGGGATTACTCTTGGCCCTGCACTTAGAAATCATTCCTGGTGGTGCTCAGGGCCCATATAGATTGCCAGAGATCAAACCTGGGTGGGCTGCGTGTAAGGCAACCACCCTACCTGCTGTACTATCTCTCGGGCCCCTGCCTACTCCTTGGCTCCACATATGGTTCTTCCTGAGCACAGAGTAAGGACTAAGTGCTGAGGATCAGACCACTGGGTATGGTCGCCAAACCAAGTCAATAAACAAATGAAAGTGTACTTTATCATTTGCGATTCCCCAGAAAAAAAATTGGTATATTTTTGTGTCCTGCATGGGTCTAAGACTCAGGGCTTATTCCTGCCTGTCTGCTTGGGGCTTATATGTGGTAGCACTGTCCTCCCGTTGTTCGATTTGTTTGAGCGGGCCCAGTAATGTCTCCATTGTGAGACTTTGTTGTTACTGTGTTTGGCATATCAAATACGTCAAGGGTAGCTTACCAGGCATTGCTGTGTAGGCGAGATACTCTCAGTAGCTTGCTGGGCTCTCCAAGAGGAGCAGAGGAATCGAAGTCAGGTCGGCCGGGATGGAGCGTGCAAGGCAAATGTCCTACCGCTGTGCTATCGCTCCAGCCCTGGTATCTTACGTGGTATCAGGAGTCAAACCAGGGCTGTGGCTATAGTCACATACTAAGCAATGCCTGAACGTTTGTACTATTTTTTTTGGCCCAACTCCAGAAATACTTTTGAGGGGCCACTCGAGGTAGGACTGGAAAAGGGGGCAGGCAGTGCTAGGAATGAAATAGCATGTGCTAGGCCTGTGCTCTGCCTTTCGAGACATCACCCTGGCCCCAGAAATTGTTCCATTGACTCTGGAGGAAAAAATATACTAACCATGATTCCCAGCCTTGTTTTGATAATTAGCAGTTAACTTCTAGTCATGAATTGTATTTGGCAGCTTGAGGACCTGCCAATCTGTGATAAAGGCCCTCTGAGGTATAATTTCAGTTTATCTCTATAGTAGTCTGAAGTTCTAATCCTGAGTTCTAAAAATGTAAAATTTAACACTTGAACCCCTTATTATTAAAATGTTGGATTTATCTTTCTTTAGCTTCATTTTTAAAAATAAGCATTACAATGAAGTAAACCGATTCATGTTTCAAGTTCTCTGGTGTGATTATAAAAGGTACGGATGGACTTGTAAACTAAATTGAACTTGTTTCTGAACACATTTAAAAAAATCTCTATAGATACTCTTGGAAGGACCCGGCACATTGAAATTCAGTAATTTTTGCTTGGCAAAAGTGGAAGGTGAAAATTTGGAAGAGTTCTTTGCTTTGGTGGCAGCAGATGAAGGAGCAGGTGACAGCGGGGAAAATGCACTGAAGAAAAACATGAAAAGTAGAGTGAAAGGTATGTGGCAAGTTTAAAGATTTTATTTTATTTTATTTATTTTTACTTTTTTAAGTTTAAAGATTTTAACTCTAGCTGGAGACTGTTTAGGTCATGTGTTTAGAATAGAATGTGGACCTTTTGTTTAGTCAGTCAAATAATGTATTGGAAGACATATGACTGGGAACAGGATGACTTTGTCCATGGTCTGAATTTTTCATGGGGATCAAATATTGTGTAAGTCCTGGAACCTCTCGCAAAGCCTATATCATGTCCTTGGATCACTCACTGAAATGTAAGGAGGGAGTTTTGTCTCACTTCCTTCTGTGTCCTGGGTGTTTAGAACTATGCTCAGTTCTTCCTTGTAGCTCAGAGGATATTTATTTGATGTTGTTGAGTAGCTAATCATTTGCAATTATTAGGAACACTTTTTTTGGAGGTGCTTTTGATAGTAACTTGGGGATTGGGGTGTTAGATGTCTCTACTCATGGGAAGAGTAGGAAGTGCTATTTCTTTTTCTTTTTTTAATTTTTATTAGTGAAACACCATGAGGTGCAGTTGTAGACTTAAAAATTTTTTGCTTGGGTTTCAGTTATACAGTGATCCAGTACCCATCCCTCCAGGACTTTTGAAGGAAGTGGTAAAAGTCTCTCCTCAAGTTCTCTAGGGGTTTAGAGATCTTGGGCCATACACTTAGCCATGAAGAAAAGGGCCCTCCAGAGGGCGATATTGTTGTGCTGGGTAGTCTTGAGGCCCAGGACGATAGAGATGAGGGAAAGGGATGCAGAATAGGAAGCTAATCCCAGACTCATCAATATGACTGAAGGAAATGGAAGATTCAGGATCAGACTTGCATGAGGTCAGATTTCACGCTCAGGAAGAGCTCTTTAAAATCATCATTGCCGGGGCTGGAAAGATAGCACAGCGGGTAGGGCGTTTGCCTTGCATGCAGCCGACCCAGGTTCAATTCCCAGCATCCCATATGGTCCCCTGAGCACCACCAGGAGTGATTTCTGAGTGCAGAGCCAGAAGTAACCCCTGTGCATCGCCGGGTGTGACCCAAAAATCAAAAAAAAAATTGTCATTGCCTTGGATGACTGGCATTTTGTGTAACGGGCTGTCAGGCACTGCCTCAGGAGAACATTATGTTCTGAACTAGTGTTTGTGATTCAGTGATAGAAATCAAGGAAGGTGTTATGTTTCAAGAGTGCACAATGGAAGCACTCCTTTTTTAGTAAGAAGTGGGCTCTGTTGCAGAGAAACACGTCAGTTTCTGGAAGCGATGATGTTATTTTTGAGATTGAGCCGAGGTGAGGGTTGTCCTTTTGCCCAGGCTGGAGGTTGCCCTTGTGCCCATTGACCCTGACCACCTATGTCACAGTCTCCTCATCTTCATATCCCTGTAGCAGGAAGCTGAAAGAAGTAAGATTACTTCAATTTCTTTGCAGTTCATGAGAGCTCAGTCTTTGTCTCCTCCCTCATCCCTCAGGGCCCAGTGTGCATTGAGGTTCGTAAATAATGAACAAAACACTTGTATATACCATGAGGTCTGACCTAGTCTTGTTGGCCTCACAGGGTTTCCTGTGAGAGCATCCTGGCATCATTAATTCTGCTTCGGAGTCCAGTTTTCAGAGGACCCAGATTAGCCAAGTTCTCACCTCTCACGTTCTTCACCTGGTCACAATAACCTGCATGTTGTTGGTCTGCACCTTCCCTGCTGCTCTTACCTCCTGAACTCATTCATGTGCAGAAAACCACTCCAAATGAATGAGTGGTTTGAATGGATGGCAATGAATGAATGGATGGCAGGTTTTTATTGGATTGAAATCATTCAATAATGGGTCTTCTGGAAGGTTTTTGTTCTATTTTGGGGGGGGTGGGGGTGGGGGGTGATACACACCTGACTTGGTGTGCATGGATCACTACTGGCAGTGGTTGGGGGACCATATATGGTGCCAGGGATGGAACTAGGGTCAACCACATACACGATAAGCACTTTAATCCCTCTGCTACCTTTTTGACCCTAAAGTAATTTTATAACATTTATAAGGCTATTATTGAACTTACTATGCAGATTCCAGCCCCCCTCCGCCCCCCCCCCCAACATTTTGGACTATACCCGGAGGTGCTTGGGAACCACTTGTGGACTAGTGCTTTAGGATTGCTCCAGGTATGCTGGGAGTCCTGCAAGGGACTGAACCCAGGGCTCTCACATGCAGAGCTCTGCTCCAGCCCATTGTGCCATCTCTCCCACTGATACAATATTTCAATTAATTTTTTTTTGCAGGATGGGGGCCACATCTGGTGGTGCTCAGGGGTTATTTTTGGCACTCAGGAATTATTTCTGGCATGGGGACCATATGGGCTGCAGGGGATTGTGCCCAAGTTGACTGTGTACAAGACAAATACCTTACCCATTGAACTATGGCTCCGGCTTGATACAATATTTTAATTTTTTTTAACCACACTTGGTAAAGAAAACAGGCCTAACTCCTGACTCTGTGCTCAGGGATCATCCCTGGCAGGGTACAGGGGACTATCTGGGGTGCTGGGAATTGAACCTGGGTCAGCCATGTGCAAGGCAAGCACCCTGCCCACTTAACTATTTCTTGACCCTGACTGTTTGAAATATTATTTAAAAAGGACATATTTGAAAGGTGCTATACTTAAAAAAAACCTGTTTATGTGTGTGTTGTGTGTGTATGTGTGTATTTATATATTTTGGGTCTCCCAGTGGTGCTCAGGAGGTTTGGGATTCCTGCTGTGAATCTTGGCCAACTAGACTATTGGTTCAGTTCAGTGGCCTCATAGTGTGATGCTGCCTGGACCCAGGAAACAGTGCCTAGGAGACCAAGATCACCCCACCACTACTGGGGTCATACAGGGCTTCACCCAGAGGTGCTCGGGGGAAGATGTGGTGCTGGGACTTGAACCCATGTCAGGCACTTGCTAGGCATACGCCATAAATAATGTCCTGTGTTTGGGCCCCTGTTTATATTTTTTTTTTTGGTTTTGGGTCACACCCAGCGATGCCAAGGGGTTACTCCTGGCTCTGCACTCAGGAATCACTCCTGGCGGTGCTTGGAGGACCATATGGGAGGCTGGGAATTGAACCCGGGTATGCTGTGTGCAAGGCAAATGCCCTAGCCTCTGTGCTATTGCTCCAGCTCCTCCTGTTTATATTCTTACCCTCCAAAATGGAACCTTGAAAACAGAAAAGATTTTGTTTTTAAGTGAACTCTATATGAAGTCATGTTCCTGCTCAGGTTTCCTTCCATCACTCTCCATCACTGGGCCTTCCCTCACAGGTCTTTCTTGACGGCTGCTTTTTGTGCTTTGTTTTAGGGTCCCTTATCTATACTGCACCAGAGGTGTTGCGGGGTGCCGACTTCTCCACCACCAGTGACCTCTGGTCCTTGGGCTGTCTCCTTTATGAAATGTTCTCAGGTGACTGTTTCCTGGTTCAGTCTGAAGTCACAGCTGGACACATTCACACACAAACTTCAAATCTATAGTTTGCAAATGCCTTATTTTTTTTCTTTAAGAACAACCATTTCTTTCTAAATTTATATATAATTATAAATGATTATGCTTTATGTTGGTCTTATATAAGTATATCTGTTACATTATCTGGTGATAGTATATGCTGATTCTTAAGTTTTGGTATAATAATCATCTGTAATACTGTAATGTGTCTATTAAAAATGATGCTTTATCTTCTACTGAAGATACTATTGTTAGTTACTATTTTTGGTTTGGGACCATACCTGGCAATGTTTAGGGGTGAACCCTAAAATGGATCTGTGCTCAGGGGTCACTTCTAGCAGTGCTGGGTTGTAGCAGCAACTGAACAAGAGCCTCCTCATGTGAAGCCTGACTCAACCAGTGTGCTTTCCCTTTGGTCCTATGAGCAGAAAGGACTCTGTGACTGGGAATTATCCAGTTGTGTCCAATGATCCTTATAGCTCTTGAATCATGGGAGTGGTGCATATATGAAGTTGCATATTGTAAGGATGAATATTTTTGAATTAAAGAAGTATAAAAATAAGTAACCAGCATTCCTGGTATGTACTAGGCATCTAGTAATCATCACTGTCATTATTTATGTTTTCTGTAAATTGCATAATCCTGAATACTTCTATAGTTGAGACTTGTTTTGAATTGATGGAGATAGCAAGCTGATTTTTAATTTTGCAAGTTTTGATGTAATTGCAGGAAAACCACCATTCTTCTCAGAAAGTATTTCTGATTTACTCGAAAAGATTTATTATGACAATCCTTTGCCACCCATTCCAAAAGGTAGGATTTCTTTCTTATAAATGAAGTTAATTTACATACTTAATATAATATTATTATTATTATTTGATTTTTGGGTCACACCTGGTGATGCTCAGGGGTTACTCCTGGCTTTGCACTCAGGAATCACTCCTGGCAGTGCTCAGGGGACCATATGGGATGCTGGGAACCAAACTCGGGTCTGCCGCGTGCAAGGCAAACGCCCTATGCACTGTGCTATAACTCCAGCCCCTAACGTAATAATATTATTTTAAGCATTGCTGGAGAATATATATTCATCTACTTATCACTTTTTCTTCTTTTTTTTCTTTTTGGGAATTTGTCTGTAGATTCTTCTCTCCCTAAAGCATCTTCAGATTTTATTAATTTGCTTGATGGTTTACTTCAAAAAGATCCTCAGAAGAGGTAAGTATGGATTAAGTATACATACATGTGATTTATATGTTTTTATTTATATACATTATAATAACAGTAATAATTTATTATTTTGGTGGTGGGGTGGAGCTGCACCTGGTAGTGTACAGGTCTTACTCCTGGCTATGTGCTCAGAGATTATTATTGGTGGTGTTCAGGGCCATATTCAGTGCAGGGTCAGCTGCATGGAAGAATTTAATCCCTGCAATGTCTATCTAATCCCTGGATAGTATGTTAATATGAATTGTGAGTTTCCAAGGAAAAGCGTGTGGGCACGCATGGACTTGAGCGTTCAGTGGTTGAGAACCATTCCCCTGGCCGGCCCACAGCAAGGGACGGACAAAGGACTGGGGAACAGAGAAACAGGGTTCCAGGCTGGTCAGTAGTCAGTTTATTTCTCTCTCCTTCCCAGAGTAGTCCAATCTCTCCCATTAATGCACATAATGTCATAGTTTTTGTCGTAGTTCCAGTCATCATAGTTCCATCATCCTAGTCTCCTCGTAGACCTCAAAGTCCTCTACCTTCTCATCCTGTCCTTCTCTTTTCTAGTCCCCTCTTACCCCTTACAGGTTCGTTATATAGAAATCATGAAGGGTGGGGGTACACATAGGTATGGTTGAACATTGTCATAACAACAAAGAGAGGTAAAGCCCCTCCTTCAGGGGAAATTCTAGAGGATTAACTCAAGGACAAAATCACACCTGAGGGTTTAGGACTCCCAAATACTAGGAGATTCGCTCAAGGGCAGGATTCCATCCAAAGTGTATTGCTTTATCCTTTCCTCAGCAAGTAATCCATTTAAACAATTATAGTAAATTTACTTCTTATAATAATTCTAGTCATTTTGTATGAACACAGTGAGATATATTAACTCAGAGTCAATTAAGTCCCATGTTACAAAAGCATAGATAGCATCAACTGTCTTCCTGTGTCTATACAAAAAGGACATTGCTAAGTAAACCATGCAAATGACATAAAGGAAAGAGAAAAGCAATTTAGGACTATTAGTGCCTGATGGAATTAGGTGTGTTTCAGGAGCATTGTTGTGGGAGTAATTTAGTAAACCTAAGCTCCCTGTGGGAGGAGCAGGGACAACCCAGTGTTATCCAACACTGGCTATGTGCTCAGAGATTATTCCTGGTGGTGCTCAGGGCCATATTCAGTGCAGGGTCAGTGCATGGAAGACTTTAATCCCTGCAATTTCTATCTAACCCCTGGATAGTATGTGAATATGAATGATTAATGAAATACAGTGGGTAGGGCATTTACCTTGCACATGGCCAACCTGGGTTCTATTCCTTCATCCTTCTTGGAGAACCCAGCAAGCTACCGAGAGTATCTGGCCTACATGGCAGAGCCTGGCAAGCTTCCTGTGGTGTATTCGAGATGCCAAAAACAGTAACAACAAGTTTCACAATGGAGGCGTTACTGGTGCCCACTTGAGCAAATCGATGAACAACTGGAGGACAGTGCTACTGTGCTACAGTACTTCTAAAAAGTTACTGCTCCCGTATACAAAGAATTGTTCAACTGTATTGTTTTAAAAGGGCGCCTTAGTTTGCATAAAACTGTGTTTCTGGTAGATAGTACAAGCAGTGAGGGTGCATGCCTTGCATGCTCCTAATATAGGTTTGATAGCCAGTACCACAGAGTTGCCATAGCATGGCCAGTGTGACCCTGGAGATCCCTCCTGGCTGTGGCTCTGGAGGCTCCCCAAAGCTGCCAGGGTGGCCAGGGTAATCCCCGGCACCACAAGGCCTGAGCATCACATCCTCAGACCCTAGCATTGAACTACTGCTGGCTGGTTGGCTTGGGCACTGCTTGGGAACTTCCCCTTCACAAAAAGTGTGTCCTCTGGGCTGGGGGATAGCTGAACGGGCTGAGAGTGATAGCAGTATGCTCTATTTCAATCAGATGATACCTTGATGCGCATTCTCTTTTCTGTGTGGATTTTGGACCATATTTGGCAGTGCTCAGGGATCATTCTTGGCTCTGTACTTAAGGATCATTCCTGGCGGGGCTTGTTGGTCAATATGTGGGGCCGGAGATCAAATCCACATCAGCAGATTGCAAGGCAAGTGCCTAAGCGGCTGTTGTATCTCTCCGGCCCCCAAGTGCAATAACTTGGAAATGAGTCTGAATCATAGATCCCACCTAAAGTCATTTTAATGTTGGTCAATTGGCTTGATAGCATTTTTGACTCCTAAATAGAATTGAGACAGTCTGGTGACACAGTTCATATTCTTGCTTATTTCTGAATGATTTTTTTCCTTTGCTTTGATTTTGATCCACATCCTGCAGTTCTCAGGGCCTACTCCTGGCGTGGTGCTCAGGGTTCACTCCCTTTGTGTTGGGGCATCTGTGGTGCCAGGGATTGAACCTTGAGGCTCCCGCAGGCCAAGCATGAGCACCTTGAGACATTCCTCGACCCTTCTGAATATACTTTTATTTCATTTTGATTTTGTTCTTTTGGTTTTTGGTGCTCAGGGCTTTCTCTGGACTCTGAGTTCAGGGATCACTCCTGATATGGTTTGGGGGTTGGGGGGGACTATGTAAGATTCCAGGTATTGCTCCTTGGTTGATTTTGTGCAAGTCAAGCACTTTGCCTGCTGTCCTATCTCTCTGGCTTGCCTGAACAAAATTTTATTTTTTGCTTTGTTTTTGGGCCACACCCAGCAATGTTTAGATGTTTACTCCTGTCTCTACACACAAATTACTCCTGGTGGCCTTTTATAACCAACTGAGGTGCTGGGAATTGAACTTGGGTCGGCTCTGTGCAAGACAAGCACCCTACATGCTGTACTCCTGCCTCTGAATGAAATTTTCATAGTGAAGTTACAAAACAGAAATATATAAAAGCAGTAGGGTTCCTAAAATGGTGTAGTATCCTTCTTGGTCTAGAGCATTATAGTTTATAAATTGATATTATCGGTACATTTACTTTCAATTTTAGATTCTGTATACATGACCTTCATAGAGTGCTTTGAGAACCCAAAATGTTTTCATTAATCTCCATGTAATGTGAACCCTGAGATTTGTAATACTTAGTTTTCAGATTTTTTTCATTCGGTACCATTTAAGGCTTCTGATTTATGGCTTTTGATGTTGCTCTCTGAGAGGTTAATTGCCTAACTGAAATGAAAGAGTCAAGTATAAAACAATCCCAGGGGTACATTTGTATGGAGATGTTTCTAAGTTATAAAATCTGATAACTTAGATTTATCTGAGTATATATATAATTGGGACCTGTCCTGGGAATTCTCTGTAGTGCATCATGTTAAGATGTCACTTTCACATTTATGTTTTATGAAGATTAACTTGGACGGGCCTCCTGAAGCATGCCTTCTGGAAGGATGCCTTTACGAGAAAAGCTCAGGGCTGCAGCTCCGCGGATTCCATTGTCAGGTAATCCTGGCTTCTCCTTGTCTGTGAGGCTGGGCTCTCAAACACCCATCCTCGCTTACTCGTCTCACAGTGTGGCATGATGCCTGTGTTTTAATCAAGGAAAATATCACGTTTGTCTAAAATATTCTTTTCTTCTTAATTTTGGGCTATATCTGGCAGTGTGGGCTGGAGCAATAACACAGCAGTAGGGCATTTGCCTTATGTGCGGCCACCAAGCCAAGCCCGGTTCTATTCCTCCGCCCCTCTCAGAGAGCTGGGCAAGCTACTGAGAGTATCTCGCCCGCACGGCAAAGCCTGGCAAGCTACCCGTGACGTATTTGATATGCCAAACACAGTAACAACAAGTCTCACAATGGAGACGTTACTGGGCCTGTTCGAGCAAATTGATGAGCACCAGGAGGACAGTGCAGTGCTACCTGGCAGTGTGCAGAGATTATTCCTAGGAGGACTTGGGGGAATTATGGGGTATAGGGATCAAACCAGTGTTGGCCATGTACAAAGCAAGCTCTCTGTATTATTGCCTTGACCCCTCAAAATGATCTTTATTCAGGGGGGTGGGTTTGGCTTTGGGGGTCATGCCTGGTGATGCTCAAGGGTTACTCCTGTCTATATACTCAGGAATTACTCTTGGTGGTGCTCAGGGGACCATATGGAATGCTGGAGATCAAACCCCTCTTGAATGTGTGCAAGGCAAACACTTTACCTGCTGTAATATTGCTCTACCCCCCACAACTGATTCTTAAAGAGTTTAGTCATGCTCTTTTTGGGGGGTGCTGGTATCAAATTCAGGGCTCTAACATATTGGGCACTTTGTGTTTTCAAGGAGTCACTTCCCTGACCCTAGTGATGCATTGTTGTGTCCCTATTTTGCTCATTTCCCTGATTGCTCCTCCTCAGCCAGTGACTGAGTTTGGTTATTGGTTCCCATTAACTCAGGATAACAGGCTTCTCACCTGAAAATGTGTGGTAGAATCTTGTCTCTGCTCTTTTATGTCTTGGATCACAGCCTTGGTGCTTGGAAGCTACTCCCTACTCATTGCTTCAGGGTTGCTCCCAGCCTTGCTTGGGACACCAGGGGCCATTGGAGATGGAGCTTGGGCCTCCTGCATGTGGAGAATGTGCTTCAGTCCTTTGAGCGATCTCTTTGATGTCTGATTTCTCTTTCCAGTATGCTTGTGTGACTTGCTTTGAAATAAATGTGACCAAATAATAAAATGTCACCCAAACTGATATGTGTTACTTCTAAAAAGAAACCTTGGGACAGTGGAGTTAGTTAGTACAGTGAGTAGGGCACTTGCCTTGCACATGGTCAACATGGGCTCCAATCCCAGTACCCAAATGGGTTCTTTGAGTACCACCAAGAGTGACCCCTGAGCACTGTACACAGGATGAGCCCTCAGCACATCTGGGTATGGTTCCAAAAATCACAAGAAAGGGGGAAAAAAAGAGAAAAGAAGAAATCTCTATATTGCTTTGACCTGCCACGCTTCTGCCTCATGAAGTGAGTGAAAAGAATGTGTTGAAAAGGAGTTCCTGTTGTCAGGAAGGGCCTTTAGTGAGTTCCACGAGCCCAGGAGTGGCTCCTGACTGTCGCCAAATGAGTCTCAAGTGAGGAGTGGTCACATCAAGCGAATTTCTTGGGTCAGTGTCACCAAAGTGCATGCAAGTTATACGTGCCACCTCCTTTGAGCTCTCTGTATCTCTCTGGCCCCCTGATTTTTAATCTTGGCAGCTTCCATGTATGGACTCTGAATTCTCATTGAGGCCTCTCCCAGACTATGAAATGGGGACCACACGGGGATCACATGGGGGCAGCAGGGCCCATGAGAACAAGAGGAAAGTGAGCTCTGGTCTGTCAGTGGCAGGTGTTACTATAGATGTCTTCTTCCTTTGACACCTCTAGGCCTTTCTGTTCTGTTTCTGAACCGGGAGCGATGGGAGTGAGCATCCTTGCCTTGTTTCTAAGTTGCGAATGAACTTGTTCAGCTAGAAAGAATGAGAGGCTGGAGACTTTTTATATCTCGTGAATAGTGAATTTTATTACATGGTCTTGTGTATCAGCTGATAAGCTTATGAGATTTTTCTTCTTTCTCTTCTCACTGTGGATTCCTCCACCATGAGTGAGTTTTCATATATTGAATCAACTTTGTGTTTGCACAGTACACCCCACTTCATCACGGTGTACTCTAGTTTCAGTCTTGCTAAGTGCCTTTGGGGCCTAGGGGGAGTAGGGGACAGGGTGAGAGGGAAAAAGAGAACAGAGTAATGGGACTGGTCACTGTTCTCGGGCGATTAGCAGAGAAGTGGAGCCCTTTCCCTTAGGGTTTGGGCCTTGACCAGCAGCTGCTGCTCTTGTGGTCTGGCTACAAGATAGCGTGAGGCCTGGGCAAGATGAGATGGGGGTGGGGGGAAGGGAAGGGGTGAGGGAAGGGCACCCATGGCAGTTCCCAAGAGCTTCCTCCTGGTTCTGTGCTCAGGGACCACTGCTGGCAAGGTTCCGAGGACCATATATGGTTTTGGGAAGCAAACCTGGGTTGGCTGCATACAAAGTAAGTATACTCTCTCTCTCAACCTGCCATTTATTTTATTTCATTTTTTTCCAGGGATAAGGTTGATGGACTTCTCGGCACCAGGTCTTGTGCATACTAAGTGCTCATTTTAGCTCCTTACTGAAAACTACTGCTTGTCTAATGCTATGGTTTTGCCACGTGCCTTGTGCAATTTAGTTCTCTCTTTCAATGTTTTGCTGTACAAAGATAGTCATGAAGAGCTCTAGAGTGATTTGAATTATTCTCTTGTTGAACAGTGATAAGGTGATGGAGTGTCCTGGGCCCCAGGATCCCAAGGAGGTTTTGAAAAGCCCTCAGAATGGACAAGCCAAAGGGAAGAGCACTCAGCGGCTGAGCCGCTCCTTCCGACTAGGTGAGTGCCTGCAGGAGGATATCCGTACCAAGAGGCTGCTCTGAGCAGTGCTGAGTGCACTCGCTGCCTGTCCTACCCCAGCTCCTGACATTGTTGACTGCTGATGGGTAATGATTTACTCTCTTACACAGAAAATCCATCAGAGTTACGGCCTAAGAATACTCTCGGGGGTCCGCTGAATGAGTCCATGTTTCTCCTCAGGTGGGTAAAAGACAAAGTTTAAGGGCTTCAAGGAGATGAAAGTTATGTGTTTGCATTTTATTGTTGCTGTTATTGTTTTGGTTTTTGGGCCACATCCGGTGGTGTCAGAACTTACGCTTGGCTCTGTACTCAGAGGATCACTCCTAGTGGGGCTTGGGAAAGCATATGGGATGCTGGGGATCGAACCTGGGTTGGCCACTGGCAAGACAAGTGCCTTACCCACTGTCCAATCTCTCTGGTGTTTTTAAAGTCACTGTTTTTTTTTCTTTCTTTTTGGGTCACACCCAGTGATGCAGAGGGGTTACTCCTGGCTTTGCACTCAGGAATTACTCCTGGCGGTGCTCGGGGGGACCATATGGATGCTGGAAATTGAACCCGGCTCAGCTGCGTGCAAGGCAAACACCTTCCCCACTGTCCTATCGCTCCAGCCCCTTAAAGTCACTGTTGTCTTGGCAGCAAATCAGCATCACAGAGCTAAGGGCTAGTGGAGTGAGTTCATTCTCATACCTAAAGTGATCACTGAGTGCTGGAGAGTGCAACAGACCTTTTGTTCTGGATTTAAAAAATCCTTCTTCCTCCTTCCTTCTCCTCCTCCTCCTCCTCCTTCTCTTTCTCCTCCTCCTTCTCCTCCTTCTCCTCCTCCTCTTCCTCTTCTTTCTTCTTCCCCGTTTGCCCTTTGTTTCTTTTTATTAGAAATTGGAAATACAGCAAGTAAGGGAATCCCATGGTGAATTGAGCTGTTACTATGCAGATATCCTTTTGGAATGCCAGTCTTCCGTGCTCCTTAGGAATGTACTTGCTTTAGCAGTTTACTAAAGACAAGGGGATAATGTCTAAAAAGGCCACTATGTGGGCTGGAATGATAGTACAGTGGGTAGGGTATTTGACTTGCATGTGGCTGACCCAGGTTCTATCACCGGCATCCCATATGGTCCCCCGAGCACCACCAGGAGTAATTTCTGAGTGCAGAGCTAGGAGTAATCCCTGAGCATCACTGTATGTGACCTGAAAGGACTTGATCACTTGACTTCCCGTTAATCATTGATTTGCTCGAGCAGGTGCCAGTAATATCTGCATTTGTCCCTGTCAGGTGCTAGTGTAGCCCAATGGCGTCTGTTTGTTTTAGGAACACGAAGAGCTTCAAACCCATCATTCAGGGTCTTGATGAAGAAGTCTGACCATCTTGTAGGTGGGCGGCCACTCGGTCTTTTGACGTCCCGTGGAATCCAGTTGAGTCGGCAACGGCTCTAGTCCAGCGGTCATCTCCAAATCTCATTATGTGTCCAGCCCATCTGATTTTTGACACCTTGGCAAATGAGACAGTGTCCCTGATTCTTGACCATTGACGGAGGTCGGAACTCTGGATTCTTTCTCTCATTTGAGTGAAACGTGATACTCCAAGCATAGTTCTTTTGATTCCTCTTTGGGAAACCTGAATAGAGTTCTCATCCTGTTTTCATAGGGCCCAGGTCTCTGAGGCGTATGTTAATGCAGGAAGAACAGTGGAATTGAAGAGTTGTGCCCAGAGCCGGAGGTTCTTCCTCCTCCTATTTCTTTGACGCTCTTGAAGGCATTTCAAGCTGCTTTCTTCCTCCTGAGCAACTCAGGTGCCAGGTCATTCATCATGTTGACTTCTCGACCTAGGTACACATAACTGTTGCATTCAGAGATTGTCGTTCCCTTGAGAGTGAATGGAACGTCAAGAACAAGACTGTTTCTCATAAACATTGTCTTCGTGAGATTCAGCTGGAGTCCGACCTTTCCACACTCATGGTCCAAGTCGGCCAGCATTTGTGCCGCTAGGCTAATGTTTGGTGTTATTAGAATGATGTCATCAGCAAAGCAGAGGTGGTGTAGCTGCCTACCATCTATCTTCACTCCCATTCCTTCCCATTCCAGTCATCACATGATGTTCTCGAGGGTGGCACTGAAGAGTTTTGGTGAAATGGTATCACCCTGCCAAACCCCTCTCTTGCATCAATGATTACTTCTTTGTAGAACGGTGAGATCCTGGTAGTGAATCTGTAATACAGCTCATGGAGGATCCTGATGTATTGAGTTTGAATGCTCTGATTGGCTCGGGCTTTGATGATCGCTTCCATCTCAACAGAATCAAAGGCCTTCTTTAAATCAATGAACGTTAAGCAGAGCGGCATCTTGAACTCCCGAGAAACCTCAATGAGCTTGGTTATCGTGTGGATATGGTTGATGGTGCTGAATCCTTTGTGGAACCCGGCTTGCTCACATGGTTGTCCTTCCTCTAGTGTTCTGCCAATCCGATTCAGGATGACTCAAGTGAACAGCTTGTAGATTACAGACAATAGGCAGATTGGGTGATAGTTGCCAATGTCGTGGATGTCTCCCTTCTTGTACAGTAGTACAGTAGTGCTGGTTTTCCATTGGGACGGAACCTTGCATTCAGACAGGTAGTGCGTGAAGAGCCGGGTCAGTGTATTGATGAGTACTGATGGCAGGTTCTTCAGGTGTTCAGGTCTCACCTAGTCTGGGCCAGGTGCTGTTTCTTTACTGACGAAATGGTGTGTCGGATTTCGGAAGGGAGAACATTGGGAATGACATATCCATCCTGTGGAATTTGGTATGTGGGCAGGTGGACGTGGCTATCAAAGAGATCTGAGTAGAAGTCATGAATAATCTTCTCCATTGCCCTTCTGGAAGATGTGATAGATCCATCAGGATGTCGGAGGGCAGTCATCTTGGTCTTGTAGTTGGCGAAGGACAGGCGGGCGTTATGAATGCTTTTCCCGGCTTCTGCCGCATCTACCAGCACTGCCGCTCTTCTCTCTTTGAGGTCTTCCTTGATCGCATCTCTGCACTGCTTTGCGAGCTTGGACATTCACTTGGACTCCAGGCTCAACGACCCGGGGACAGAGATCCTCTGCTTGCTCCCATCAACCACAGGTGATGAAGGGATTAAAACCAGGAGCCCCACCCTACTCTGCCCTGTCTGCTTCCACCAACTGCTGGCGACCCAGAGACTGGATTACGCACAGAAGACCCACCCTACCGGTACCAGATAAATACCTCACTGGCCGACCTCCACTACTCCACTACCTCCACTACCCAGCCGCCACCACACTCTAGGATGCTTTCCGGACTGTGCGACCACTTCGCGGCTGTGCAACACATCATAAGACACTTAATACCCATCTTTCAGGATTGCTGCACCATATTTGATAGGGTTCAAATATGATTTGAACCATGGGAACACCTACAAGGGCGATTAGAGACCACCCCAAAAGCCTTTATCCCTTTTGCAGAGCCTGGCAAGCTACTGAGAGTATTCCACCCACATGGCAGAGCCTGGCAAGCTATCCGTTGTGTATTCGATATGCCAAATCCAGTAATTACAGCGGGTCTCATTCCCCTGACCCTGAAGGAGTCACCAATACGTTGAGAAGGATGAGGAAGGAGAGGCTGATAAAATCTCAAGGACAAACTAGGCTGCCGAAACGAAGAAAGACAAAAATGATTATCTGTACTTCTATCTACACAATGGAGTACTATGTAGCTGTTAGAAAAGATGAAGTCATGAAATTTACATACAAGTGGTACTACATGGAAAGTATCATCCTAAGCGAAATGAGTCAGAAAGAGAGGGATAGACATAAAAAGATTGCATTCATCTTTTCTAACAGCTGCATAGTACTCCATTGTGTAAATGTACCGAAGTTTCTTTAACCTGTTCTCGGGCACTCAGGTTTTTTCCAGATTCTGGCTATTGTAAAGAGAGAACAAAAGGGAATGCCCTGCCACAGAGGCAGAGTAGGGTGGGGGGGTATGGGGGGGTGGGAGGGATACTGGGATCCGTGGTGGTGGGAAATGGGCACTGGTGGAGAGATGGGTATTTGATCATTGTATAATTGAAACCCAAGCACAAAAATTTGTAAGTCCACAACTGTACCTCATGATTTCTCACTAATAAAAATAAAAAAAAATAAAAAAAAAGATTGCATTCATCTGGGGGACATAAAGTAACAAAATAGGAGATTAATACCCAAGAATAGCCGAGGTCAGTAGCAGGAGGATTACTTGATGGCTTAGAGGCCAGCCGGGCATGCTAGGGGAAAGGGCAGCTCAGATAGAGAAGGGAGCACCAAATAAAGGGTGTTTGGAGGATCCTCCCAGGATGGGAGATGCATGTTGAAAGTAGACTATGGACTGAACATGATTGCCACTAAATACCTGTTTTGCAGACCACAACACTCAAAAAGAGAGAGAGAACAAAAGGGAATGCCCTGCCACAGAGGCAGGGTGGGGTGGGAGGGATACTGGGATCCATGGTGGTGGAAAATGGGCACTGGTGGAGGGATGGGTATTTGATCATTGTATAATCAAAACCCAAGCACAAAAATTTGTAAGTCTACAACTACCTCATGGTGTTTCACTAATAAAAATTAATAAAAAAAAAAGATTGTCTGTACTTTCAATGCACGTACACTGGCATCAGATGCATCCATCGAGGACCTTGTGGTACAAGTGTGAAAGATCAAGTATGACATCATTGGCCTGACCGAGACAAGAAGGCATCAATCACATCACACTGTTTTCGACACTGGAGAACTGTTTCTTGGAATGTGCAACAAAAGAGGTGTCAAAGGCGTCGGTGTCCTTGTCAACACGAACTTGGCCATAAGCATTGATTCATTCAAATGCCTAACAACCCGAATCGAATGATTACACTTGAATAGATGTGGCTCACTGCTGGCAGTTTCTGTCTTCGTTGTCTATGCACCAACATCCAATTATGATAAAGGAGAAATTGAGAAGTTCTACATGGAGCTGGAGAAGTTCTATAAAGAAGACAACACCTACAAGATTATTGTTGGTGATTTTAATGCCAAGATAGGACTGAGAAGATCAGCTGAAGAACTCCACATCGGGATCCATGGCCTAGAATGGAACGAACAGGGTGAGAGACTGTCTGATCATGTCGACCAAGACCATCCATGGTAACTCACAGTTCCAGAAGGCTGAATCTAAAGGTTGGACATGGGAGTCTCCTGGTGGACAGTTCCACAACGAAACTGACCACATCATATTCAATCGATGGTTTTGCCTGACCGATGTTGCTGTTGTCCCAAAATTCCAAACAGGATCGGATCACCGTCTCCTTTGTGCAAAATTCTACTTCACAGAGCGGGGAGAAAGGGCTGCAAAGTTTAAGAAGAGAACTCCCAGAACGACCACGAACTGGGAGCTCTTTGGCACTATTGCTACAACATGGGAAGATGCTGTCATTGACAACATTGATGAGGAATACAGTCAACTGGTTCAGCACCTCCATGATTGTGCGAGGATCGCCAAGAGAGAGATAGCCACAATAAAACGCCTGTCTTCAAAAACTCTTGAGCTTATTCACCAACGTGGTTTGGTGCATGCCACAGGCAACTCGAAAGGACAGGGAAAAAAAAGGCCACTATGTTATTATGGTGAAAGAATGAAACTATAAAGGTTATTCTAGTGATGACTTTTGTTTCAGAAAGCTTTTTTTTTCTTTTTTTCAGAAAGCTTTATTTTATTGATGTCATGTTATAGTGAGCTAAATCTTCTTGATTTTTTAAATCCATATTTTTAATGGAAAGAATGTTAAATTTACCAATATGCATCTTAGACATTTTAAATTCAATTTATTTTTTAGGACGGGGGGATGTCTCCTAAGTGATCCTCGGAAGCCTGGAGGCTCCTTCTGATGATTCTTGTTCATCAGAGGCCCCTGATCAACTGGGCTGGTGGCAGGAGCCCAGGGGTATGGTGCTGCCTAAGCCAGAGATCATTGGATTCCTCTTGGTGGTGACAGGCAGCCTCCAGAATTACACCTGTCAGTGCTACCAGCCTGTGTGGTGCTGGGGACTGAATTGAGGTTAGCCTCATGCAAGGCAGGCACCTGACCCCATTCTGTACCCCTGGCCCAGACAAAAAATATTTAAGGGCTGGGGAGATAGTGTAAAGAGCTGGAGCACATACTTTATGTGATAGATTTATCTAGATTTAGTCCCAAACACTGTGTGGTCCCCAGAACCTAGAACCCTGGGTAGTTCCTGAGTGCCGCTTGGTATGATTTCTCCCCTCATGTGCCCCCAAATAAAAGATAGATTAGTAATTATGTTTCATTTTGGGGGCCATACTTGGTAATGCTGGGGGGAACTATTTGGTATTGGTAACTGAACCCTGAGCAAAGGTACTCTAGCCCTTTCAATGATCTTCCTGGCACCCAAACTCTTTGTTTTTAAACTCTGGCATCTTTTGTGAGCTAAGATAGAACTTGTTTAGTGAATGAGTAAACTGACCCGTGAGAGAGGTGAAAATTAAAATATTTGAGAATTTGAAGGATTTTTTTTTTTTTTGCTTTTTGGGTCACACCTGGCAATGCACAGGGGTTACTCCTGGCTTTTGCACTCAGGAATTACTCCTGGCAGTGCTCAGGGGACCATATGGGTTGCTGGGAATCAAATCTGGGTCAGCTGCCTGCAAGGCAAAAGGTTGCAAGGCTTACAAACGTGCAAGGCTCCAGCCCAGGAATTTTTTTTTAAAGGCCCAAAGGGTCTGATTGGGATAATTTCTTAAAATGCAAAAGAGGCCTCCAAGTTAGATGTGCATCCAGGCATCAGTGGATGTCTGAGGAGCCCAATGATGCCAGTCACGTACAAGCATTGGGGAGCAGCGGGACTCCGCAGAAACAGATGCCAAGAAAGGACTGCTGGACAATGGTGGCAGAATGTGGGTGCTCTAGTGGTATGTGTGGAGAAACAGTGCTCACCTCGGTAGGAGAAGCCTGAAGGGGAATTCTGAATCAGGTTCTCACCAGGAATCCACAACATTGCTGTGAATCTTGACAATGCTTCAGTCAAAAAAGAAAATAGAAGCGTATTGGGCCTAGGAGTGGCTCAATGGCCAAAACATCTGCCACGTAAGTGCGAAGTTGCAGGATTGATGCCCTGGGCTACCCACGAAGACTTAGGATAGTCCCAAAGGCACTGCTGCTCTGGCTCCCAGCACTGCCACAGAAGCGCACTGTCACCAGCTCTCCAAAGTGTCTACGGGCTTCTAGGGGCAGCAAAAGACTGAGTCTGAGCACCACAGCCACGTGTGTATGCTCGACCCTTGTCACCGTGACAACACCAACCAAGGCCAAAGACTGGGGATTTGAAAAACATGTAGATGCAGATTAGGACTCGTTACTTACCTTAAAGAACTTCCAACATTGTCATTCATTTAAAACATTTTCTGAGATAAAATGGTAAATATTTCCCACCCTTTGCAATGTACCCGATCTATTCTACTATGTTGCTGTTGCACCTAGTAGTGGATAATTATAAAGGATAATTATGATTTATGGTTTAAACATATAATTCTCTACATAGGATTGAAGCTGTCTATAATTTAAATAATGAATGAGCCAGATAAGTACTTCAAAAACATTTGAAAAATAAGGGAGTCACAGAAACACAAAGTAGAGCGTAAATTTCGTTGATGGAATGAGATCATGTGGAATTGTCATACTGTACCATTTTTTGTGAGAAGTGTGTTTTCCCCCCAGGTAGTTTCCAGTATCTAAGTGATGGTACCTGATACTTCTCTTTCAGTTCTCGTCCTACTCCCAGAACTAGCACTTCAGTGGCCATAAGTCCTGGTGAGAACCTGACTCAGAATTCCCCCCAGAAGGCTTCTCCGACCAAGGTGAGCAGAGGTGGAATAGAAGGTTTTGCTTTGTTTTGTTTTGTTTTAGGCTTATAAGGATAGTAAAAGTTGATCTCTGAACAGTTTTTAATCCAAAATTTATAAGTAAGTTACCTTCCTTTTATGTATCACAGCTTTATTGAGCTATATTGGACAGGCCGTGTTATTCACTTATTTGAAGTGTACAATTGAAGGGCTTCTAGGGTATTCTCAGACATGTGCAGCCATTACTGTGTTCAGTATTAAGATACTCATCTTACAAAGTCAGCATTAGTTATTAGAATTCTGTTTTCATCCACCTTCTCTCCTCTCCTGCCCTTGGCAAGTGCAGTCTAAATTTAAATTTTGTGTAATGAAATAATATAATATGTGATGTTTTGTAGACTTTTTTTTCTCTTTTTGGGTCATACCCAATGCTCAGGAGCAATCCTCCCCTCCCCTGTTCTCCCCTCCCCTCCCTTCTCCTGTTCTCCCCGCCCCTCTCCTCCCCTCCCCTGCCTTCCTCTGGGTGGTGGGGGGAATCACACCTGGTGATACTCAGGGGTTACTCGTGTTGGTGCTTGGAGACCAAACTGGATGATGGTGTTCGAACTTGAGTTGGCTCATTCAAGGAAGGCACCCTGCCCACAATACTATCTCTCCAGCCCTTTGGACAGTTTCTGTGTAGGTGTTTGGAGCTTTTTCCTGACTGTACTTGGGACCACACAGTGTTGGGAATTGAACCTGGGTCTTTAGCATGCAGAGCCGTTTGAGTTATCTCCCTGACCCATTGCTATTGATTTCTGCCCCCCCACACACACTTACCATAATGTTTTAATATTTATCCAAATGGTAGCATTTTTTATTGCTATTCTTTTTTATTACCAATTAGTATTCTTTTGTATAGAGTACATTATATATACATTTTCCCATTCATTGGTGAAAGGACTTCTGGATTGTGAATAGTGTTGCAATAAACATAGAAGTGCAGATAATGTTTCTACTCTGTGTTTTTGGGCCACTAGGATCTATTCCCAGAGTGTTATTGCTGGATCATATGGAAGCTCAATTTCTTCTTTTTTGAGGAATGTCCATGCTGTTTTCCAAAAAGTCTGGACTAGTCGACATTCCCACCAACAATGAGTGAGAGTCCCTTTCTCCTCACATCCATGCCAGCACTAGTTGTTCTTGTTCTTTTTTTTATTTTTTATTTTTTTTTCCTTTTTTTTTATTAGTGAAAAACCATGAGGTACAGTTATAGGCTTACAAATTTTGTGCTTGGGTTTCAGTTATACAATGATCAAGTCCCCATCCCTCCACCAGTGCCCGTCATCCATCCCCATGGGTCCCAGCATCCCCCCCACCCTCATCCCCGCCCCCCCCCCCCCCGTCCCATCCTGCCTCTGTGGCAGGGTATTCCCCCTTGTTCTCTCTCTCTTCTTTTGGGTACTGTGTTTTGCAAGAGAGGCTTTGAGTGGCAATCATGTTTGGTCTATCGACTACTTTTAGCATGCTTCTCCCACCCTGGGAGGGCCCTCACAACACCCTTCATTTGGTACTCTCTTCTCTATCTGAGCTTCCTTTTCACCTAGAGCCTGTGGCTGGCCTTCCATTCATGGAGCAAAATTCCTGGTACTAATCTCAGCCATTCCTGTGTGTCACTCTCCCTTTTTGTTGCTTTATGTTCCCCAGATGAATGCAATCTTTCTGTGTCTATCCCACTCTTTCTTTTTTTTTTTTTTAATTTATTTATTGAATCACTGTGGGAAAGGTTACAAAGCTTTCAGGTTTATGTCTCAGTCATGCAAATATCAAACACATTTCCCTTTACCAATACTTATTTTTTCCCATGAAGAACCCCAATAAAACCCCACCCCCCACCCCTCCCCGTCCCTGTGAGGCAGATGAATTCTAGTTAACACTCTATCTGCTTTGATTAGATTGTTTCAATAAAAGATTCACCACTATTATTTAGAATTTCCCCCCCCCCCCAAATCAGACATGCTGAAAAAGCATTGTGAAGTGATTTGCTTTCTACAGCTGGGTTCAAGAATTAAATGTTGGTTTTGGATTTCTGCTATTTTACCTATTGACCCTGGAAGTATTTCTACTGAAAGTCAGATAGTTAAGAAATTGGTTTCTGTGTTCTGGAGTCGTGGCCGTGCTGGAGAGCCGCTCGTGGGGGGCAACTGGTGGCCTCGGTAGGGCGTGAAGGGCGGAGCAAAACGCCCCCCTTCCCATGAGGTTTTAGTCGCCCCCACACTCCCGGCTCATACCTGCTGTCCACAAGGCTCCCATGTGGCTGCCATCTTTCTTTCCAGAGAGGAGAGGGCGAATGGGGCAACACCCTTTCCCCTCCGGCAGACTTGATGGGCTGGATCAACGCATAGTCCGTTCACTTTTCTGCTCCAAGCTGCTGGGTTCTGCATTAAGTCCTTGTGCTTCTGGGGCCATGGCCGTGCTGGAGAGCCGCTCGCGGGGGGCGACTTGTGACCTCGGTAGGGCGTGAAGGACGGACCGGAACGCCCCCCGACCCATGAGGTTTTAGTCGCCCCCACTCCCCCGGCTCATACCTGCTGTCCACAAGGCTCCCATGTGGCCGCCATCTTTCTTTCCAGAGAGGAGAGGGCGAATGGGGCAACACCCTTTCCCCTCCGGCAGACTTGATAGCCTGGATCAATGCATAGTCCGTTCACTTTTCTGCTCCAAGCTGCTGTATCCCACTCTTTCTGACTCATTTCGCTTAACATGATACTTTCCATGTAGTACCACTTGCATGTAAATTTCATAACTTCATCTTTTCTAACAGCTACATAGTACTCCATTGTGTAAATGTACCAAAGTTTCTTTAACCAGTCATCTGTTCTTGGGCACTCAGGTTTTTTCCAGATTCTGGCTATTGTAAAGAGTGCTGCAATGAACAAACAATTGCAGATGTCACTTCGACTATACCTTTTTGCCTCTCTGGGATATATTCCCAGGAGTGCTATAGCTGGGTCAAATGGCAGATCAAATTCTAATTTTTTGAGAGTCGTCCATACTGTTTTCCAAAAGGGTTGGACCAGCCGGCATTCCCACCAGCAGTGAAGGAGGGTCCCTTTCTCGCCACATCCACGCCAGCACCGGTTGCTTTTGTTCTTGTGGATGTGGGCCAGTCTCTGTGGTGTGAAATGATATCTCATTGTGGTTTTGATCTGCATCTCTCTGATGATTAGTGATGTAGAGCATTTTCTCATGTGCCTTTTTGCCATTCGAATTTCTTCTTTGCGAAAGTTTCTGTTCATTTCCTCACCCCATTTTTTGATGGGGTTGGGTGATTTCTTCTTGTGGAGTTTAACCAGTACCTTGTATATCCTTGATATCAACCCCTTGTCGGATGTGTACTTGGTGAATATCCTTTCCCATTCTGTAGGCTGTCTTTGTATTTTGGTCACTGTTTCTTTTGAGGTGCAGAAGCTTCTTAGTTTAAGATAGTCCCATTTGTCTATCTCTGTTTTCACTTGCTCGGCCAGTGACGTGACATCTTTGAAGATACCATTAGCTTCAATATCATGGAGAGTTTTGCCGACTTTGTCTTCAATAAACATTATGGATTCTGGTCTGATGTTGAGGTCATAAATCCATTTTGATCTTACTTTTGTGCATGGTGTTAGGCAGAGATCTGAGCCCACTTTTTTGCATGTAGCCGTCCAATTTTGCCAGCACAGTTTGTTGAAGAGGCTTTCCCTGCTCCATTTCACTTTTCTTGCCCCCTTATCAAAAATTAGATGATTATATGTTTGGGAGGAAATGTCAGTATATTCAACTCTGTTCCATTGGTCTGCAGCTCTGCTTTTGTTCCAGTACCATGCTGTTTTAATTATTACTGCCTTGTAGTAGAGTTTGAAGTTAGGGAGGTTGATTCCTCCCATTTTCTTTTTCCCAAGAATTGCTTTAGCTATTCGTGGGGGCTTATTGTTCCATATAAATTTCAGGAGTGTTTGCTCCATTTCTTTGAAGAATGTCATGGGTATCCTTATAGAGATTGCATTGAATTTGTACAGTGCTTTGGGAGGTATTGCCATTTTGATGATGTTGATTCTCCCCATCCATGAACAGGGGATATTTTTCCATTTCCTCGTGTCCTCTTTTATTTCCTGAAGTAGCGTTTTGTAGTTTTCCTTGTACAGGTCCTTTACTTCCTTAGTTAAGCTGATTCCTAGATACTTGATTTTCTGGGGCACAATTGTGAATGGGATTGTTTTCTTGATGTCACTTGCTTCTCTTTCACTATTTGCGTATAGGAATGCCATGGATTTTTGGGTATTGATTTTATAGCCTGCCACTTTACTATACAAGCCTATTGTTTCTAGGAGTTTCTTGGTAGAGGTTTTAGGGTTCTCTAAGTATAGTATCATGTCATCTGCGAATAGTGAGAGCTTAATTTCTTCTTTCCCTATCTGGATGCCCTTAATATCTTTTTCTTGCCTAATCGCTATTGCAAGTACTTCCAGTACTATATTGAACAGTAGTGGAGAGAGTGGGCATCCTTGTCTCGTCCCTGACCTTAGGGGGAAGGGTCTCAGTTTTTCCCCATTGAGGATGATGTTTGCTGTAGGTTTGTGGTAGATGGCTTTAACTATATTGAGGAAAGTCCCCTCTATCCCCATTTTGGCAAGGGTTTTCATCATGAATGGGTGCTGGATCTTGTCAAAAGCTTTCTCTGCGTCTATTGATATGATCATATGATTTTTATCTTTTCTTTTGTTGATATGATGGATTATGTTGATTGATTTCCGAACGTTGAACCATCCTTGCATCCCTGGGATGAATCCCACTTGGTCATGATGTATGATCTTTTTGATGAGTTGTTGTATTCTATTGGCTAGTATTTTGTTGAGAATCTTCGCATCCGTGTTCATCAGGGATATTGACCTGTAGTTTTCTTTTCTTGCGGTGTCTTTGTTTCCTTTTGGTATTAGAGAGATATGGGCTTCATAGAAGCTGTTTGGGAGAGTTTCTGTTTTTTCAATTTCCTGGAAAAGCTTGAGAAGAATTGGCAATAGGTCCTCTTTAAATGTTTGGAAAAATTCGCTAGTAAATCCGTCTGGGCCTGGGCTTTTGTTTTTGGGAAGACTTTTGATTACAGTTTCAATTTCCTTGATGTGAATAGGTCTATTCAGGTACTCTATATCTTCTTGATTCAGCTTTGGGAGATGGTAGGAATCCAGGAATTTATCCATTTCTTCCAGGTTCTTGTGTTTCGTGGCATACAGACTTTCAAAGTAGTCTCTGATGATCTCTTGAATTTCTTTAGTTTCTGTTGTGATATCCCCATTCTTATTTCTGATTCGATTTATTAGGGTTCTCTCTCTCTGTTTCTTTGTGAGTGTTGCTAGTGGTTTATCTATCTTATTTATTTTCTCGAAGAACCAGCTCTTGGTTTCATTGATCTTTCGGATTGTTTCTTTGTTTTCCATGTCATTGATTTCTGCTCTAAGTTTTATGATCTCTTTCCTTCTGCCTGATTTAGGCTCTTTCTGTTGATCCTTTTCTAAGGTCTTGAGCTGTGAGGTCAAATTGTTTATGTGCATCGTTTCTATCGACTTAAGATAGGCTTGCAGAGCTATAAATTTTCCCCTTAATACAGCTTTCGCTGCATCCCATAAGTTCTGGTAGTTTGTGTCTTCATTCTCATTTGTTTCCAGGTATCTTTTGATTTCATCCTTGACTTCGTTCCTGACCCACTCATTGTTCAGCATCGAGTTGTTTAATTTCCAGGTGTTTGATTTGGTTCTCCGTGTCTGTGTGTGATTCACTTCTATCCTCAGTGCATCATGGTCTGAAAAGATGGCTGATACTATTTCTATCTTCTTGATTCTGTTGAGGTATGTTTTGTGTCCTAGCACATGGTCTATTTTGGAAAATGTTCCGTGCGCACTGGAGAAGAATGTGTATTCTTTCTTTTTGGGTGTAAAGCCCTGTATAAGTCCATAAGCCCTTTCTCTTCTATTACTTCTTTCAAAGTCAATAATTCCTTGCTGGGTTTTGTTCGTGTTGATCTATCCAGAGGTGATAAGGCGATGTTGAAGTCTCCAAGTACTATTGTGTTGGTAGTGATGTCCTCCTTAAAATCTGTTAGCAGTTGTTTTAAATATTTAGCTGTTCCCTCATTAGGTGCGTATACATTTAAGAGTGTGATTTCTTCCTGTTGTACGTATCCCTTGATGAAGAGAAAATAGCCTTCACTGTCCCTTCTAATCTTTTTCAAGGTGAAATTAATGTTGTCAGATACTAGTATGGCCACCCCAGCTTTTTTGAGGGAGTTGTTTGCTTGCAGGATTGTATTCCATCCTTTGACTTTGAGTCTGTGTTTGCTCTGGCTGTTGAGGTGAGTTTCTTGTAGGCAGCAGAATGTTGGGTTCTGTCTCTGTATCCATTTTGCCACTCTGTGTCTCTTAACTGGTGAATTTAGACCGTTGACATTGAGAGAGAGAATGGTTATGGGGTTTTGTGTCATGTTTCTGTGCGGGTGTGTTGTGGTTGTAGGGTTTGTCTTTTCTTATAGTAGCCCCTTTAGGCCTTGCTTTAGGTTTGGTTTTGAGTCTATGAAGTTCCTGAGCTGCTGTTTATCTATAAAATAATGTACTGTTCCTTAGATTTTGAGGGAGAGTTGAGCCGGGTAGAGTATTCTTGGGGAAGCATTCATTTCCATGAGTTTTTTGACTATATCTCGCCACTGCCTTCGGCTTGTAGGGTTTCCTCTGATAGGTCTGCTGTGAATCTAAGGGATGCTCCTTTGTATGTGATTTCCTTCTTTGCTCTTGCTGCTTGCAGTATTGTGTCTCTATCAGCAGTATCGATCATTCTAAGTATGATATGTCTTGGAGTGTTTTTGTTGGGGTCTCTTTTAGCTGGCACCCTTCGGGCTCCTTGAACCTGAATGGCTGCATTATGCAGCTCTGGGAAGTTTTCAGCAATGATTTGTTTGACGGTGTTTTTTTCGTTGGGATTGTTTCCCTGAGGTTCAGGTAATCCCATGATTCTAATATTGTTCCTCTTGGAATCATCTGCTAGGACTCTGATTCTCTGTAGAGCCATTTTGAGGTCCCTTGCCAGTGTTTGTTGTTGCGTGTTGGCTTGTTGCAGCTGATCTTCCAGGTCACTGATTCTCTCTTCAGCTGCGGTCATTCTATTTTTAAGAGAAGAAACTGAATTTCTCATTTCATCTATGGAATCTTTTAATCGTGACATTTCTGCCCTCATTTCTTCTCGTAATTTGTCTATTTTTTCTGTGGTGTTACTGGCTGTCTGTCTGACTGTTTCATTGAGTTGATCGAACATCTTGATGACTTCGTACCTGAATTCTATGTCAGAGAGGTCCCTTAGGTGAGCTGTATTGACAGAATGGTCTAGATTGTTTTCATTGTTCTCCCCTTGTGTTGGAGATTTTCTTTGTTTCTTCATATTGCTGAGTAGGTTGGGTTACTAGATTCCTTGGGTACTAGGTTCCTTAGCGTGGGAAAACAACCTGCGGCCACGTTAGCGGCCGCCCGCTGGAAATTAAGCCACGCCCACTTTTGAGGCCTCGCCCACTTTGAGGAGGCCACGCCTCTACAGAACCCTGGGTTTGGGATGAGATGGGCGCCGCCGTCAGGTCAGGAGTGAAGAGGGCAGGGCAGACGCTCAAAACTGCTTCTCTTCAGGCATCACGGGGGACACCTGGGGTCCTGCAGGGAAAGATGGAGGTCCCAGGGTCGCGAGCCGGCAGCTGTTCTGACCTGGAATTAAGATGAGATGGGCCGTTCTTGTTCTTTTTGATGTGTGCCAGTCTCTGTGGTCTGAGATGATCTCTCATTGTTGTTTTGATTTGCATCTCCCTGATGATTAGTGATGTGGAGCGTTTTTTCATGTGCCTTTTGACCATTTGTATTTCTTTTTTGAGGAAGTTTCTGTTCATTTCTTCCCCCATTTTTTGATGGGGTTGGGTGTTTTTTCTTGTAAAGTTATGAGTGCCTTATATATCTTTGATATATATCTTTGATATTATCAGGCAGGTATTGGGTAAATATTTTTTCCTATTCTTTGGGCTGTCTTTTTATTTTGGTAACCATTTCTTTTGAGGTACAGAAGCTTCTTAGTTTAATGTAGTCCCATTTGTTTCTCTTTGCTTCAACTTTTTTGGTTAGTGGTGTTTCATCTTTGAATATGCCTTTAGCTTCAATGTCATGGAGGTTTCTGCTTATGTTTTCTGAGTGCTGAAAGTAGATAGAGGGTTATACACAATAACCTGTCAGTGCCTGTATTGTAAACCCTAATGTGGGGGGAGGGGGAGAGAGAGAGAGAGAGAGAGAGAGAGAGAGGAGAGTGTCTGCTGCAGAGGCAGCAGGCAGGGTTGGGGGATAGGGCAGTGGCAGGAGGGAAACTGGGACATTGGTGGTGGGAAATGTATACACTGGTGAAGGGATGGGTATTTTATTCATTAACATTTTATTCATTTATTTATTTTTTATTGAGTCACTGTGACATATAGTTACAAGCTTTCATGTTTGAGTTTCAATCAAACAATGATCAATCACCCATCCCTCCACCAGTGCACATTCTTCACCACCAATCTCCCTAGTATACTCCCTCCCACCAATCTGCCTTTCCAACCTTCCCCCTGCCTCCATGGCAGACAATTTCCCCTATACTCTCTCTCTACTTTTGGGCATTATGGTTTGCAATACTGATACTGAGAGGTTATCACTTTTGGTCCTTTATCTACGTTCAGCACACATCTCCCATCCCAAACGATTCCTCCAACCACCATTGTCTTAGTGATCCCTTCTCTATTCCAGCTGCCTTCTCCCCCAACTCATGAGACAGGCTTCCAACTATGGAGCAATATTCCTGGCTCTTGTATCTACTGTCCTTGGGTGTCAGTCTCATATTATTTTATACTCCACAAATGAGTGCAGTTCCTTCTATGTCTGTCCCTCTCTTTCTGACTCATTTTGCTTAGCATGATACTCTCCAGAGACATTCTATTATCGAAACCCAATATTAAGAACTTTGTAACTTTGTATCTCATGGTGATTCAATAAACATTATTTCAAATTTTAAAAGTAAAGAATAATGTGACTGTGAATGTTTCTGGTTTTGGGTAGGACTTGGTCTTAGTTTCCTTTTATATATGCAGGAGTGTAATTGCTGGATCAAATGATTACTCCAGGTTTAAAAGGAACTTTAAAACCATTTACCAAAACAGATGCATAATTTTACATAATCACTGGCAGTGAATGAGGTCTCCACTTTTTATATGCTATCAACACAACTTGCTACTGTCTCCTTTCTAATTTCTTCTTCTTTTAAAAAATTCTATGTAGTGCCAAGGGATTGAACTCTTTGTTCTGATAAAGCTGCTTTTTTTTTCTATGCCCTGCCTTGGCTGGGGCACCATGTTCTTTACCCAGGTTTTTGTAATAATTCTCTACTAAGTGCTCTCCCCACTACTTACTCCCTTCCACTCACTTTTCCCCTGAAAGCAGTGTGTTTTTCTTTCATTAGAGAGAATTTCCTTGATGATATCTGTTTTCTCTTGAGCAATCCCAGGCATTATTTTATCTTTTATTTTTCCTCCTTTCTTTTTGCAGTGTAGGGAATTGAAGCCGTGGCTCCATATATGCAGGGCAAGTACACTTGTGCTGAGCTACAACCCCGACACCACCAGACATTTACAAAAATTTAGCGTTTATTATTATTATTCATTTAAACAAGGCCTAATTTTGTTCTCATTTCAGATTGCAGGTGGCCAGCTGACACAGCAGGAACTGGAGTCCCAGATGAAAGAGCTTATCTACACAGACTCGGATCTTGTGGTCAGCCCAATTATTGACAATCCGAAGGTGAGGAAGATGCGCTGACCCCAGGTTGAGTTGTTGATGTCACTGAGGTCCAAAGACTAGGTGACAGGCCGGTTCCCTAGATTCTTGGCTCGCATTGCTTTCCTATTTCCCTTGTCTGCATTTATTTATTCATTTTTGTTTTGGTTTGTTTTTGGGCTACATCTGGCTGTGCTCAGGGCTCGCTCCTGGCAGTACTTGGAGGATGATATGGCCATATAGGGTGTCAGGAATTGAACCCGGGTTGGCTTTGTGCAAATCAAGCCCCTTAGCCATTGTCTCTTGTCTGCTTGTCATTGCCTCTTGCCTGATTTTGTTCAACTCATGTTGCTTGTCTACATTTGTTCTCCTTTGTTGTGTGTGTGTGTGTGTGTGTGTGTGTTTTGTTAAAGTTGTTTTTTGGCCACACCCAGTGATGCTCAGGGTATCTGCCCCATTCAGGGTACCATGTGTTCTTGGGGATCAAACCCAGGCCTCTCTCTCCTGCCCACATGTTGACATTTCTACTCCTACCCTGTCTGTAACCCTCTCTTCCTACCGTGTCTTCTATTTCATGGAAAGGCTGTGTTTTCTTTCCTTTTTGCTTTCATCTCCTGTAGATCAGTCACTGGGCTGAAGAACGACTGCTGTCTTCTGGTCTAGATCACCCTTGACCCCAGACTATGGGGAGAAGGACAGAGACAGAAAGGAAATCTAGTTGGGAAGGAAGAAGTTAAGAAAAGGAGTGATGGGGAAGAAGGGATCAGGGGTCTTGGGTACATGGTAATGTGGGAGAGGCTCAACAACACTGGAAATACTACAACCACTAAACGTTAGGCAGAGTATCCTGCCTCTGCGCCTGGCTGTTCTCACCGGGGCCCCTTGGAGGAGGGTGCGTTGAGTTTCCCTCCCCACCTCGAGCAGAGCCCTGGTAGCCGAAGACCTCAGGTTCCAGTCACAGCCATGCTTAAGACCACTCTCCACATGTTTGGATGAGCCTCACGCATGAAGGAACTGGCAGAGAAACCCAGATGTGCGGGACCTGGGGCGTAGATCTTCAAGCCTGCTTGGATTGGGACTGGGCCTCCTCCACCCAGATCTCCCATCTTCCAGTATGTAGGTGTTATATCCACCAACTGCCCCTAGTGCCGTGTAATCCCATCAACCGCCAAGACCCGGAGACTATAAAACCCAGCTCCCGGTTGTGTGTGGCCGCATTCACGGCCGTGTGACATCTTATTATCTAGTTGTTATTCTGGAAAACCTGGCAGGCTACCAAAAGTATCCTGCCCACACGGCAGAGTCTAGCAAACTCCCTGTGGTGTATTCGGTATGCCAAAAGCCAGTAACAATGATGGGTCATATTCTCCTGACCCTGAAAGAGCCTCAAATGTGGCACTTTCTAAAATCTCAGGGCTAGGGCGAAGGAGACATTACTGGTGCCTGCTCGAGGAAATTGATGAACAACAGTATGACAGTGATACAGTGATACCAAACGTTAAAATGTGCCCGTGAAGGTGGTAGGTTGGGGAGGGAGTGTGGGGCAGCAGGGAACTTGGAAACAGTGGCAGACGGAAGTTGAGACGGGTGGTAGGATTGGTGTTAGCAATTGATAGTTGTCTAAGACTCAGCTTTGAATAATTTTGTAAATCATGTACTTTAATTACATAAAATTACTTAACATTTTTAAAAAGCATACTTATACTTAATAGCTCATTAATTTCCATGTAGCTATTTCACTCATTTGTTAATGATTATTTGGGGGCGGGGGAGGTGGTGCTGGGGGCACACGCAGCAGTGCGGAACGGCTTACTTCTGGCTCTCCGCCAGGATCACTGCTGACTGGACCCTTCAAACATAGCACTTAGGGCAGCTGGTACCATGAGGGGAAGGACAGGGCAAGCCCCCTTCCCCCCTAATACATGATGTCTTAGCAGTTGCTGTGAGTCCTCTAACTTTCCCCCATGATCAGGGTCACGGAGCTTTGAGAGGCTGGTGCCCGTGTGGTGGCCGTGACCACTCCCAGTAGCCTGGTGCACTGCTTCGGTCAGCTGCTCTGATTGCTGCAAACAGGGAGGCTTGAACTCCCTGGGGTGCATGGCTGGTCCCTTCTGGGTTGCCCAGATCTGTAACCAATCCCAAGTTTGGGTGCTTGGTGTGTGAAGGATGAGAGACAAGAGTCAGTGTGTGTGTGGGGAGGTTGGGATGGGAGGGCTTCTGCAAGTACTAGCAACCTGAGAAGATGGTGGGCTTGTTCCCCCAGCCTTCCTGCTCTCAGGCTGGAGTTCGTGGTGTGTATGGCTTAAAGGCTGGTAGGGAAATGAGTTAGCAGAAAATTGTGGGAAGTGGGTCGGTGGGAAGAAAGAGTCTGATAAGCTTCAGGGATCTTTTCAGAGGGCCTGGTGTTGGCATGACTCTGGGGCCAGAGGAGTCCTTGGGCACGATAAGCTCTGGGACCGCTCAGAGAGTCCGTTGTTTGCTCTTCCTCCAGCCCCATTCCCTCCAGGCACCTGTCTGTGGCTGGACCTGGTCCAACATCAAATACACAATGTCCGAGAAACATCTTTTCAGATTGGGAGGCAGGACTAGGGCCCAGGGGAAGGAGAGATGATAAGAAGTAGATCTGTGAGGAAAAGGATGGGGTTTCTAATACCCGCTGGCGTACAAGACCATACCTTGTGAATGTGTCAGTGCCCTAGGATGGATGGTGGGGGCCGTGTGGAGCTTCAGAGACGTGGTTTACAACAGGCTTCTGACCCAGGTGATTTCTGTGGCTTCATGACTTGGGAATGTAATACTGTGTTGCCAGTGGCTAACAAGTGCTCTCCTTTAAACTTTTATTCCTTAGTCCTTGTGCTTTTTTTCAGTCTCTGGCACAGTCGTTTTCCACTATTGATTTTGTATTTTAACTTTCTAGCATTCAAAAAGGTCTCTTTCTGTGTTGATAACTGTTTCCATTTATTGGGGGATGTTTCTGCAGGTTAGATCAAATGAGATCTTGGATCCATGTTTACTTACCGGATAGACAAGATTTAATATAGATATCCCAGCTGTTTTTTTCATTAAGAAACTAATGTTTTTCACAGTTTCAGTGGCCCAGCAGGGTCACTGTATATAATGCTCTTTGATTTATAGTAGGGTATTTTCCTACTGGATCTTCAGGAATAATTTGAAATATTTTTTTCCATATTCTCTCTATCTATCTTATTGTAACCATGCTTATTTGTTTCTGGGGAGCCTTATTTGATGGAGGCTTAAAAAACACCTTTTTATTTCGATCTAATTTTAGACTTAGAAGGTTCTTTTCAGATAGAAACTGCCTCAAAAATATTACAACTTAAATTTTTTTTTAAATTACAGATAATGAAGCAACCACCAATTAAATTTGATCAGAAAATATTGCATCTACCATTGCATTCAGGTAGGATTATAAAGACCATAATGAAATATGTGAACACTTTGTGGATACAAATCGAAAATTTAATCATAAATGAAATACTTTGTTTGTGAATAGCTAAATTCTTGTTTTGTTGCCAGCTGGCTCTGTTTTTGGGACAGTGTTATGTGAATTATAAACAGTCTATACTTTGTTTCTGTCTGCTGTATACTCCTGTGGGTAGGAAATTTCCTGTGGAGATGGGTGAGTTTTCCTGTTGAATGGGTGACTCTCCTGCCCTTCCCGTTGCAGAGCCAGTTGAATTTCCAATTTTTGTGGTGCCTTTCCGTGCAGGGGATTGGAGACCACAAAGAATTGAGATTCTACTTGAGGGATAGGGCAGTTAAGAACAGGCGCAGAGGATTCATTTTTTTTTGAGGGGGCCACCTCTATTGGTACTGGGGGTTACTATCGACACAGTTAAAAAATATCTTCAGGCAGAAGAGATGGACATAGAGGAGAGTAAATAAAAGTATTATTCAATGAAAGAGAAATAAAAGTGTGAGAATTACATATTGGGGTACTTTGGGGTGTGGCATTGCGAAGTCACCTTTTTTCTTTGCCCTCATCCTTCTGTTGTGATTCTGTACTCCATTTCATTCTCTTGAAAAGCTCTCAGCATAAGCGGATTCTCATGCTTATTTATTATTTCCCCCCATCTCTAGTGGATAAATTAGTATTTCTAAAAGACCAAGACTGGAATGACTTTTTGCAACAAGTGTGCTCCCAGATCGACTCCACTGAGAAGAGCCTGTCAGCCTCGCGTGCCAAGCTCAACCTGCTCTGCTATCTGTGTGTGGTGTCTGGGCACAAGGAGCTCGCCACCCGCCTCCTGCACTCCCCTCTGGTAGGTGGTAAGGAGGCAAAGCAAAGACTCCTTGTCTGGTCCTGGCATTGGCACTACACCCTATCGCTCAGATAGAGACTCAAATAAGTGTTGCAACATGCAACTTCATTGCACTGAAAAGTGATTTATCATGGTCGTTGGCCTAACCAAATTAAGTTCTGGGATGAGCCTGAGGTCACCTAGCAGTTGCATAGACAGGGATTTATTTCAATTTTATTTTTATAAAGGTGTTCACAATAATTCATTGCATTTAATATTCAGATACCAATCCCACCATGGTGCACCTTCCCATCACCATAAGAGCAAAGTGTGTGAAGATTGTTGTGTTTCATCCCAGAGCCAAATAAGTTCTTGTATAAGAGATTTACAAGCATGTATGTTAAACCCAAACAAATGTGTGCTACTTTTGGTACATCAGTGGGCTAGAGTATGAGTGGTTGCTCTAGGCATTCTGAAATTTAGATTATAGAGCAGATTCACTCATGGGTAAGGCCTAGGTCGCTCTCTTCTGGAAGTTTTATTTCAGAGTCTCTGAATCTTGGCCGTTGATGAGATTATATGGCGCTAGGGGGCAGTTTGTGGGTGTTTCTGTCAAGCTATTGGAAAACTGGGGAGCTGGCGGGGAAAGGCCCAGTTCCTATCCAAGCGGGCTTGGAGATCTCATAGACAGGTATTTAAAGTATTTTGATGCCCTAGTATATAAAGTATTTTCTCACATATGAAAGCCTGAGACAGACTCCTTTGCATTAGCCATCGAGTGAATTGCCCTGGTGGAACAGGAATGCCTTTGCTGGAACTGCCTGGAAAAGCCCAGGTTTCTGTCTGAGGCAATGCTCAGGGAAGACCTTGAGGTTCTGAGCAGGTCCCTGCGGTAATTGTTTCTCGGACCATCTGGGTTCATCAGGAAAACCATGGTATTTGCCAGATGGTGTGGTCATCCTCAGATAGGATTTAGGATTTCCTATAGCTTGGGGCATTTTTCACAGTGGGTCCTCATTTGAAAGCTGGCTTGAAAGGATTTCAGTTCATTTGCTCTTAGGATACTGTTAAGGTTATTTATTTGGTATTTGGTGCTTGGTTTGTGTTGGGGGGATGGGGGATGGGCACATTTAGGAAATGGAGTAGGAGAAACTGAAAGTTCTTTGTTTTCTTTTCTGAAAAAAGATATTTACCATGAGCTATTCCTGGCATGGCACTAAGTTCAGGGAAGGGCTCTCTGGGTAGAACTCAGGGGGTCACGTGGTGCTGGGGATTGAACTTAGGCCTCTTTCATGCAGAGCATATAACCAGCCCATTGAGCTAGTTCTCTTGCCCTTGGTTTTAATTTTTTAATCTTATTTATATATTCAGTTTCTCTGCATATTTGTAGACCTCTCTTGTGCAGGACTCACATTTCAATTTTATATACTTTCACTTGTTAACTTGGAGATCACTCTCTTTATTGTAAAAAACAAACAAAAAAACCCATATGAGTAAATTGTACTTCTTAAATTTTTTATTCTAGTTCCAGTTGCTAATCCAGCACTTACGAATAGCTCCAAACTGGGATATGTAAGTAACATTTAAGATTTAATAAGTTATTCTTTGTTAATTATGATTTAGTTGAATTGTACCATGCATATCAAAAGCACAGTCAGCACTTATAAGTTATATTTGGAAATTTGATACTCAGAATCATAGAGTTTCTATAGGTATTCTGATTATGTAATTTAAAACTGTCTCAAAAAACAGTTTTGATCCCGATATAAACATAATTCCAGGGTTATATAAACAACATCTGGAAATTCTATTAACTGTTACTCTTATAGATTTTTTTTAAATCAAATGCTTTTAATTTCTTGTGTTACAATTGAGTTCTACTTCCTGGGAAGTTTTTCCTTGCCACTCACTGTCTCTTTGACATTATTTAAGTTCTGTTGAAATTATGATCCGCAAACTTCTGATGGCAGGAAGCATTCTTTTTTTCACTTTTTTGGCTTTGTTTTTGGGCCATACCTAGGGGTGCTTAGGATCTATTTCAGGTGCCTTGCTCCTGGTGGTGGTTAGGGAGCCTTGTGGTGCAAGGGACCTAACCTGGGCTTCCTGCATACGAAGTGTGTGTGTGCTCAGTCCTTTGAACCATCTCCCTGGCCTTGGGACTTCCTTTCTGTTTCTATCTACACTTGGTAGTACTCAGGACTTACTCCTGGCTCTGTGCTCAGAGATTATTCCTGGCAGTGCTTAGGGGACATACATAGTTTAAGGGATCGAACCAGAATCGACTGCTTACAAGGCAAGTGTCTCACCCCTATACTGTCTCTCCAAGTCCCCTGGTACTTATTGGAGCATCATGCCAAGTCTTATGGAGCAACATGGTGTTTCAACATGCCATGGCAAAAAGTTCATCAATAAAGGTGTCAGAAGGCTTTTGACTGTGGTTGCCCAGAGGAAATTGGTTTAATGACCTTTTTGTGTGCCTCAGTGCCCTGAGTAGTCTATGTGTGATATTGAGATTGCATGGGCTTAAAATTCAGACAGACTGAAGTATGATAATTTGCCACTATGACAAATTGCTTTAACCGCTCAACCTCAGTTTCTTTGTAAAGTGGAATAATGCATCAACGATATTGATATTTGGTAAGTTAACCCTCGGCTGAGACAAGTATATGAAATGCCTTGCTTAGTGCTTTATTCTTGGTGATACTTAGTATATGTTGGGTGTGTGGAGTTATTGCTCTTAAACTTGTTAACCCCTTTATTTTTGGAAAAGTACATGAAACATGAACATGAAGGAATGTGTGAAATGTGGTTGTTAGTGGTAAAGGAGTTGTTATTCTTCCCTGCCGGTAAATTGGGGGTGGGGGGCGGGGAATGGATATTCACAAAATGCCTTTATTATTTTTTGATCTTTCATTCTTTGTGGTTTATAATATTACGCTTCCATGGGAAAATAGAGCATTATAAGATTTTTCTGGAGACACAGTATAGAGGTTAAAGTGCTTGCCTTACACACAATGACTCCAGTTTGATCCTTGGCACTGTCTATGGTTCCCCAAGCACTGCAAGGAGAAATCCCTGAACACAGAGCCAGGGTAAGTCCTGAGCACTGCAGGGTGTGGCCCCCAAACGAACTGTAGCACTGTCCTCTCATTGTTCATTGATTTGCTTGAGCGGGCACCAGTAACGTCTCACAACAAATTGTGAAACTTGTTACTGTTTTTGGCGTATCAAATATGGGGAGCTTGACAGGCTTTGCTGTGCAGGCGAGATACTCTCTGTAGCTTGCCAGACTTTCCAAGAGGGGTGGAGGAATCGAACCCGGGTCAGCTGCTTGCAAGGCAGACGCCCTATCCACTGTGTTATCGCTCAAGCTCCCCCAAATAAAAATTAAATAAAAATAAAACAGTTTTCAGGTGATATTTGAACACGCTAGAGGCTTTGATAAGACTTTTTAGTGTACTTACTGCAAAGAAACCAATAAGGTGTAACACATTTCTGCTAAAATGTAAATTATATCCTTGAATGGGGTGCCCCCTACTGATTGAAAATTAGATGTTCTCTTTCTCTTTATGGTGATGCTAGGACTCTAACCCAGGGACTCATGCTTGGGAAGCATGCACCTTGATCTGAGCCACCTCCTGCTCCCTTAAAATGGACATTCTTGATTCTTTCCAAGGCCAATTTTAGTTTTAATTAAGAAAAATTGCAAGTAGTAAAAAAGATGATTGCTTTGCTTGAAGCTGCCTTGTACATTTTCTTTTTCCAGTCAGATATCACTTCTTCAAAGACGTGTGTGTGTGTGTGTGTGTGTGTGTGTGTGTGTGTGTGTGTGTGTGTATGTATGTTGATTTTGGTTTTTGGAAGTGCTAGGAGTTGAATCCAGGGCCTTACACATGCAAGGCTATTTTTCTTTTTTGTGTGTGAAGCGATAACACAGCAGGTAGGGTATTTGCCTTGCATGCGGCTAGTCGGCTTACCTGAGTTCAATTCCTCCACCCCTCTTGGAGAGCGCGGCAAGCTACCAAAAGTATTTTGCCTGCTCTGCAAAAGCCTGGCAAGCTATTCATGTATTCAATATGCCAAACACAGTAACAACAAGTCTCACAATGTTACTGGGCCCGCTAGAGCAAATCAATGAACAACAGGAGGACAGTGCTACAGTGTGTGTGAAATGAGATAATTTTTATTAAAATTTATTTAGAAAGATGTTAGGAGAGACAAAGAGAGAACTGTGTGTTCAAGAGAGAACACAGGCTTCTCCAGAGTAGAAAACTAAGCAAAGAGACATAGAGACAAGCAAGTGAGATATGTGTGTTAGGGAGAACACTGGCTTGATGACCAAGCCTCTCTTTCTCTCTTTCTTTAAAAAAAAAAATAGAGTTTTTCAGTTGTGAATTTGTTGCTCTAAATTTATTGTTTGAATAGATTTAATTATTTGTAATCAAGATTTCATTGTGATGAGAGCTAATATGAGATCTTCTATTCTTTAAATAAATGCTCTTAGTTATTAGTATTTTCATCTTTGTTGTTGTATTGTTCAGGAAATCTCATCTTTATTGCAGTGACAGGGATCATACTCTTGGTGCCTGGGATCACTCTCAGTGCTGTGAGGTGATACCAGGGATCAGGGATCAAACTCACGTCTTCGAATATGTAAGGCAGGTGCTCAGTCAAGTGAGCCAAGTCCCCTGAATTTTACTCTTTTTGTCTTGGAGTCATGTCCAGCTGTGCTCTGGGCTTACCCCTGGCTCTGTGCTCAGGGCTCACTACTAATGAGGTTAAGGGGGCCATATGTTGTGCCAGGGCTCAAACCCATGTTGCCTGCTTGCAAGGCCAGTGTCCTACCTACTATGCTATCTTTTTGGCCCGCCTACAATTATTTTGGGGAAGATATTAAATCTCTCAGAGGATCTGCTTATAAAAGTTGTTATCTTCTTCAGCTTTTTTTGTGGTTTCAGGACCCAGGTGTGTATCTTCTTTGGTGAAATGTCTATTAAGGCCTTTGGACCATATTTTCATCAAGCGTTTTTTCTTAATGAGTTTTGATTGGGTTCTTTATGGGAAATCAATTGTGTCTCTTGAAAATACTTTGTTTTAGTCTGTGTAAGTTTTCTTATTTTTTTCTTTAGAGTTAGAACTATGTGGCCTTAATGAAGTCCAGTTTATCAATGATCACTTTCATGGATTGTGTTTGGTGTTGGATAAAATCATCACTATACCTGAAGTCATCTAGATTTTCTCTTTTGTTACTTTAGAGAGTAGTTTTGTGTATTTCATATAGTTTGTGCTATGATCTGAGTTTTAATGAAAGGTTTAAGATTTTTCTCCAGACTCATTTTATTTTTTATGTGGTTGTCCAGTTGTTCCTATATCTATCATTTGGTCTATCTATGAATGCCTGACCTTCCATCCGTACATCCATCATCCATCCATCCATCCATCCATCCATCCATCCATCCATCCATCCATCCATCCTCTTCTGAGGAATTGTGGTCTTTGTGGAGTCTGGATGCATGTGTCACTCTGGTCATATTTTATTAATGGATGCTTGCATGTGTGTATTCATTATGAACTTCTCGTACTTGGGAGAAGACCAGACTATTTCCCCAACATGATCTGACTTTGTTGTATGGCATGTAAAGGTTCCTAAGTTGCATCCTTTGTAAGCTATAGTTTGAAACAGACATCTTTGTTTTGTTTAATGATGCAATCCTTCAGTTTTGCTTTGAGATTCACTGTGGAAATACAGCTTCACTTTTGTTTGGAAACATTGAAATCCCTAAGAATGATTTTTTTGTGTTGAGTTATGGCAGTGTGGGTCATTTTCTGGGGTCTTCCCCAAGTTCTGTTTGCTTTACTTCCCTTTGCCGTAAGTGCATTTATTAGAAAAACCTGAAAAGTGGGCACTCTGGCTGCTGTCCATACTGTTTAACCTATAAAATAGACGGTCATCACTAAATCAAAGAATGGGCTTCAGCAAGTCACAAGTCACAGTTCGTTTTTCCAATTCGAAACAATCCTTTTTACTGCAGTGATACTTATTTATCAACTATAATTTCTTCTAGATGCTTAAAGAAAGACCTTACTGGGGCTGGAGCGATAGCACAGTGGGGAGGGCATTTGCATTGCATGTGGCCAACCTGGGTTCGCTTCCTAGCATCCTGTATGGTCCCCCAAGCACTGCCAGGAGTAATTCCTGAGTGCATGAGCCAGGAGTAACCCCTGTGCATTGCCAGGTGTGACTCAAAAAGAAAAAAAAAGATCTTACAGAAACTAGCTTTTATTAAAGTAGAAGAATAGGGCTGGAGAGATGATACAGGAAGTAAGGCCAAACAAGAAATTAGTCAAACACGTAACTAATCCTGGTTTGAATCCCGGGCAGCACATACTACTATCTCCTGAGCACTGCCAGGGTGACTCAGAGACAGGAATATTTAAGATTTTTTTTTATTAAAGTACATACATGTTAATATATATATAATACATATATATATATATGTACCCTGATGCTAATTATGTACTTTAAATCTGAAACCACTGATCTGCTACTAGAAGAGAATTTTTGCCTTTACACTCAGAAATAAAGGGTTAATATCATCTTCTCCTCTCTGGTTAAGGCCTCTTTCAAATTTCATTTTCCATTTCACCATTAAAGCCTGACTTATTTAATTTTCATTGCAATTACAAATGGCTTTGCAGAGAGCATTGTTTGTGGTATCCTGGTATCTGTGAGGGAGATTTTCTCTGGGCTGTGTTCATGTGGGAGTGGGGGAGTGTATACATGCTCGTAATTATATCATTGAACTAATTTAGGTTAGCATTCTTGGTCCCTGACTCTATCAGAGCCTATTTCAGATCCTATTTTCTTTCATTCACAGACGGGCCAAGGTTGCTCGCGTGATTGGCTTATTGGTCTCCCACACGACTGAACTCCAGGAGAATGTACCTGTTATCGAGGTAATTTATATAATGACTGAAGTGTTATTGTCCTTGACTTTGCAGCTCTCACCCTTTGCTTAAATTTTGGACTTGTGGCAGTTGTCATAAAACAATGGAACTTTAGGCTCACACAAGGCAGTACATGAACAGCATAGTCTGTTACTTTGTTTTTGGATCATGCCCAGTGATGCTCAGGGCTTACTCCTGGCTCTGTATTCAGGGATCACTCCAGGTGGTACTTGGGGAACCATGTGATGCTGGGAATCAAACGGGGCAGTCGTGTGCAAGGCAGTCTCCTTAATCCTTTACTATTTCTCTGGCCCTGCAGTTTGTTATTAATGATGGTGGGTGCAATTAAAATGCTGTGGCCGCCACACTTAATAATATCAGTTATTTTTGAATGAGGTGTTTTGGGAAGGGAACAGGGAGACCCACATGGTGATGTTCAGGTGTTCATGGGATTCAAAACAGGCCTCCCACATGCAAAGAAAGCACTCCAACCCCTTGAACTGCTTCTCTGTCTCAAGACTTCATTACTTGTTAGTTATTTCTGACAGTAGCACTGGAGCACCGTCCTCCCTTTGTTCATCGATTTGCTCAGGCGGACACCAGTAATGTCTCCATTGTGAGACTTGTTACTGTTTTTGGCATATTGAGTATGCCACGGGGAGCTTGCCAGGCTCTGCCATGAGGGCGGGATACTCTCGGTACCTTGCTGGGCTCTCTGAGAGGGACGGAAGAAATCGAACCTGGGTTGGCCTTGTACAAGGCAAACGCCCTACCTGTTGTGCTATCACTCTAGTCCATTTCTGATAAGTAATCCCAGTATTTAATGGGTTTTCATATGGTAATGTTTTTATCTATTTTTACAAAAAAATTAATGTTTTTAGTCTCCAGAACCAAAGGGTTGTCTCATCACCTAGAGGACATGAGAAATTTTATACTTTATTCAATTGTTGACATTCTGCCTTCCCGCCCAGGCCCGGTTTCATGGAGTTCCTATGGAATTGGAGACTTCCTTCATTATTTATAAAATTATTTGACATCCTACCCCCATTGTCAACCAATTCAGATTTTGTTCTGACTTTATAGTCAATCTCACTTGACAATACATTTGAGCTTTTTTTTTCAAAATTTTATTAAAGCACTATGATTTACAAAGTTACTCAAAGTTGGGTTTTTGACATACAATGTTCCATCACTGATTCTACCACTGGTGTTTTGTCTATTCTTGGATAAATGAAGTACTAGTAAGTGTAACTCATCTTCCTTGGAAATTCAAGTTTAATGATTGTTTAATGTTGTGAAGTATTTTTTGGAAAAATGGACTCTTGTACAAGGATATGCATACTCTTAAAATTAATAATGGGGAATGGAGAAATAATATGGTGGGTAAAACACTTGCCTTGTACCCAGCTAGCTGGGATTTTATTCTGGCACCACATATAGTTTCCTAAGCACTGCTTGGTATGATCCTCAGAGTAGCCAGGTATGACCCCAAAACGAAACATTTTAGTGTCTAGTGATGTAAATGGTGTGTATATTATGTATACATATAATGGTGAGGTGTATATTATTTCAGAAGATCAAAAAAGGGAAGGGTTAAGGGAAATACTAAAGAGAAGGACAAATGTTTTATTTCGTTTAACTTTTCCCCTTTAAATGAACATCCGTTGCCTATTATGGGAATAGCACCTATGTATGCAGTAAGACCATTATTCCAGGTGGGGTCTCCTTTTGTTCTAGAATTTTATATAGATGATGTTTTATTCGTGACCCATATTCTTAGTTTTGACTTTCTTTCTTTCTTTCTTTCTTTCTTTCTTTCTTTCTTTCTTTTTTCTTTCTTCTTTTCTGTCTTTCTGTCTTTCTTTCAACACCCTAGCTTACAGAATAGTTCATAATACAGTTATGGGTATTCAGTGTTCCAACACCAATCCTGCCGCCAGAGTGATCTTCCGTCACCATTGTCCCCGTTTTCCCAGCCACCCCTCAAGCCCCCTTAGCATGCACAAACTAATTTATTTTATATTGCTTGTTACAACTAAATGAGTAATGAAATTATCAGATACTTCAGTGAAATAATATTTATGAAAATTGTTATAACTCACCATGGAGCCACTAAATCACTTCTATGAGGAGCCACTAACTCACCATGGGGCCACTAAGCCACTTATATGAGGTTTTCCTAAGCTGTTTGTTGCTAGTTGAGTCTTCTGTGCTATTTTTTGTTAATTGAGCTAGTTGGCTTTCATGTTATTTTCCCATCTGATTTGGTGTGCTCCTACTGGGCTGTTAGTGTTGTGGAATTTGGAGAGGTTGCACGGCAATATGCATGGCCACACACTTCGGAAACCCCAGAATATCTCACTGGGCTGTGAGTTGTGGGGTGTGGATGTGGCTGCCGGTGTGGATGTAGCTGCTGGGGTTTTTGGAAGTACAGAGGTGGGATGAGGGGAGGCTATCTGCCCCCACTCTGAGAAGACCCTAGAGTTCTCAGCAAGAAGATGCGTGTACCTGGAAGTTTTGTCAGTTAAGTGTCTCTGTAGAGATTAGCCGTGAAGCAGTGGAATCGAACCATTGGCACAGCAGCAGCTATGGGGTGTGGGTGCAGCTGCTGAGGGCTTCAGCAGGACGAGAACTTGGCCCGCCCCTTCCTGAGGGTGCCCCAGAGTTTTCAGCTGGGAGATTAGTGTACCTGTGGGTTTTAGCAGCTTGGCTTGCATCTCTTCCTAAATTTAGACGTGAATCTCTAAAGCTGGGCTAATGAATGAGTTTCCATGGTGGTGGCTGTGGGATGTGGGTTGGCATTCTTATTTATTTATTTTGTCTTTGTGTATGTATGTGTTTGCGTGTTTGCTTTTTGGGCGACACGGCAATGATCAGGGGTTTCCCATGGCTCTGCATTCAGAAATTTCTCCTAGACGTGCTCAGGGGACTGACCATATGGGAAGCTGCAGACTGAACCTGGGATGGTCACGTGCACGGCAGATGCCCTTCTCACTGTACTGTCATTGCAACCCTGGCACTCTTATTTTTAAACAAGTCTTTCTCATTGGTTGTGTACATGCACTGTCTAGGTACCATGGACATAGAGACAGAACAGTCCCCATTCTGACAGAGCTTATGTTCACAGGTGAGGAGAGATCATAAGTGTCTCTCAGAGGGTAGGTGATGACAAAGGCAGTGAAAAAGGCCATTGAGGGTTGGGAATGAGAGGCCAGCAGTGGCACTTTCTTTGGTAGATTGGTCAGGTGAGTCTGAAGAGCTTTATGAAGAGCATAATTGAGGAAACAAGCCCAGCTTCCTGGGGGAAGCACCTTCCAGACAGGGTGAAGAGCAATTGCAAAGGACCAGAGATAGGAAAATGCTTGGCATGCCAGGTAACAGCAGGAGGGAAATATAGCTCACCCGAGTGAGAGGCAGAGTGGAGGGAGGATAATGACAGGGCCAGGAGGCTGGATCATCTGGAACATCATGTCTTACCCAGGATGAGTGAGATAGAATTAGAGAGAGCAGTTTAGGAGGTGGTGAGTAATGACTAGTATGTGTGTGTATGTAGGTCTGTAACATAAAATACATGATAAATATAAATATCTCTTTTATGAGTAAAAGGATTTACACTTTTAGTTTCTGTGTAGATTGTGGAAGCATATTGAAAAATTTACTGATTACTAGGTATTGAAAGGCAGACTTTACTGATCAACTTTGGCCAATGTAAATTCTAACTCATGGAAAATGTCAGGGTAGTGGGAACTAAATAATATCAATACCATAATATTAATATTAATAATATTAATACCACATTGGCAAAATATAAAAAAATGCCACAACTCTAAATATTGCTGTAAGGACAGCAGAAGGAATGTTCATAAGCTGAAGGTAGAAATGTATGTGGGCACAGACCCTGAAAAATGCTCAGTGACCGTTTAAGAATCACCCAATCTCTGCCTTGTTATCCAACATTCCCCCTCTTGTAACCTTATCATATACCTGGTGGCATATACCAGAATGTCTATTCCTGGCATTATTTGCAATCACTATGCATTTTTTGGGGAAGTATTTGGGGCACATCTGTTGTTACTCAGGGCTCACTCCTGGATTTATGCTCAGGGATCAATCCTGGAGTTGGTCAGGGGACCACCTGGGATGCTGGAGAACAAACCCCGGTTGGCCACATGCAAGGCAAGCCCTCCTTGCCTCTGGTCCCCAAATCACTGTACATTTATTTTTTTTATTTTGGGGTCATAACCTGTGTTGCTCAAGGGATACTTCTGGCTCTTCACTCAGGAATAATTCCTGGTAGTCTTTGGAGGGACTGGGATGTTGGGGATCAAACCCTGATCAGCACTATGCAAGGCAAGGGCCCACTATACTATCTCTCCAGTCTCTTACTGTGCATTGTACATAACCCGTATATCCATTCACAGTAGAATGGTCCAAGTGTATTACAGTAACACCATGGAATACTTAATAGCTTTGTGATAATGCTGTGATGACAAGCCTCTGTGGATCTCATAGTCATAGACAGTTGACCTAGATGTCAGTAGAATATCTCCTGGGTGAAGACTTGGATACATATTCAGAAATATCCTAGGGCAGTGGTGCTTCTTGTCTGGGGGTAAAGTCCTGCGTGGTGCAGGCAACCTGGGAGAATTATGTATGTAGACGCTGGTGGAAGGAGTCTGGTGATCCCTTGTGGAAAAGGTTGATTAGTTGGCTATAATCATTAAAGCAACCACTAGAGGGCACTCAAATACTGGAAACAAAGTTTGACAAGTTTTAGCCCAAACTTCTAGAGGATGCATTCTCAGTGCGAGTTTAGTGGTGCATATCTGTGTTTCCTTATTTTCGAAACTTCTGATGCATGAAATGTGTTTTCTTTTTTGGGGGGCAGTTATCATGACATAATATTAATGAAAGCCACAAAAAATCTTGAAAAATGCAGAGAGCTAATAGTATAGTGGGTAAGGCACTTGCTTTGCACAAAGGCCTACCCAGGTTCTGGGCACAGCAGA